ACATTGTAAGTAGATACGATCTTCAGGATCTCTAGGCGTTTGTCAGCTGCTTTTGGTTGTTGAAATCGTTAAAAAGTGTAGAGTCGATATGTGTATTTGATTGTCTAGCTATCAGTCATCAAATCACATAGGTAAGCAATATGCGAAGCGTATATTATCAGGTATGCACTCCACCTGCGGTGGATTGCGGACCCCGTTAGTTGCGCAGATACGTGAATAATCAAAAATATAGATTCTAGTTGGCCCATGAGACTCGCTGAATTTGGGGGTACCGATTTTTGAATAAGAGTCGTTTCAATCATAAAAGTAGCGACAGTCGTAAGATGGAAGTTTAGGATTTGTGATAAGAATTAGTGATATGGATTGGAGATAAGGCTTGGCGCTTTGGCGTAGATGTTTTAAAGTTTGAGCGTCTAGCAATCCGTCACGAACATTGTAAGTAGATACGATCTTCAGGATCTCTAAGCGTTTGTCAGCTGCTTTTGGTTGTTGAAATCGTTAAAAAGTGTAGAGTCGATATGTGTATTTGATTGTCTAGCTATCAGTCATCAAATCACATAGGTAAGCAATATGCGAAGCGTATATCATCAGGTATGCACTCCACCTACGGTGGATTGCGGACCCCGTTGGTTGCGTAGATAAGTGAATAATCAAAAATATAGATTCTATTTGACCTATATGAGACTCGCTGAATGTGGGGTCATCGATTTTGGAAGTATTGTTCGTGTCTGTTGTAAATCGAATGTTGGATAATTGTTCTAAGGGATAGGGTTTATGATAACGCGTTTAGTGATATGATTTTAAGATTGAAATAATGCTTGGCGCATTGGCGGGAATGTTTAAAAGTTTGAGTGTCTAGCTATCAGTCATCAACGGTGTAAGTACGCATAATATTTTACATCTCTTTTTTGTGGCTTTTGGGTCTGTCCAAAAGTTTGAAGTCAAAAAAAACCATACACCTAATCGATTTTCTATTTTCGATAATCTACAATTAGGTGTACTAATAAATTACACTGTCTTAATGTACCTAATTAATTTCAAGAAAATAAATATACGATCATTGTTATGATCAGATCAAGGCTATTTACTGCATGTAATTAACAAAATTAATCATAGGGATGCCAATAGTAAAATCCATTTGAATATGGTACATTGCCATTTTTGTTGTTTTGTTAAAAAATATAATATGTTTAGTATACATACATATCTATTACATCGTTTTTAATAAAAGTATAATTTAACTTAAACTAACTTGCAGTATGTCATTGATACTATTAAAATTATTTATTTATTTTAGCAAATTGTTCGTGCGTAATTGAACAGTTTGATTTAGTATGGTATGTATAATATATTGAATCAAAAACAGTAGGTAAACAATATTTTAAACAGAAAGTCGGGTGTTAGTTACATACAGCGCCGGATCATAGCTTTTTAACACCCGGGGAAAATTAAAAAAATACGCCCATCTCAGGGAGATGACCAGAATTAGTATTTTTTTTTTACGAAAAATCAAGCACTCTCACAGTACTGCGAGGAACTGAGGACCAACATTTACAAAACCTTTCCAAATGTACTGCATAACCAATCATTTATTTACCACAAATAATTTGAACGATTTTAACTTGAAAATGAAACATTTTAAATTTTAAACTATTCACGTAATATAGTTTTAGAAATTAGAAGCACTTCTTATAATGGTGTATTTAAAGCTAAAATCTGTGGTCAATATTTCTAAGTTCCAGGTTTAGAATAAATAATATTGATAATAATAACATGTATGAATTATTTATTAACAAATCTAAATTAGGTAGGTATCCATTGCTTACTTTTAATATAGGATGCTTTATGTAAAAGAACAATATTTAATTTACAACATACCTATCAATATTATACATTTTCATTTTTAATATTTGTTACAATCAAAACTTAATAATATGTACCTAGGTACGGAATGAATACAATGAAACAAAAATGTAATTATGTGCTGAAAATTGTAATATAATGATTATAACACGACAAAGAAATATTTATCATGGATTATCACTTACGGATAGAATGTAGATACCTATATACTAAAATAACTACATTCTACATTCTACATTTTAAAAATTTCCAGAATAATAAGGACCTGGTTGTCTGTTTGACATCTTAAACCATAAAAATAATTTAGACAAAAAACACAGTTTATAATAAAAAAAAAAACGAACCAAATAGAATATAAATTTCCTTTTAAATTATTTTAATATATAATATGTAAAACATAATATTCAATCTGTCTTGGGCTACAATCAATAGGATAATATTTTTGTTTTAATTATTTAATTATGTTGTACTTTTGTAGTATCAAGTTTATCAAGTAAATTAATAGTTGTATACTTGTACCCATTTAAAAAGCAAACACAAATGACAAATTATATTCCATTTTGTGTTCTGTTTCATTTATCTAGTGGCCATGGTGATATTTATAAAAAAGTTCAGTTTATAAAAAGACATTAATTGTTAAATACAAAGACTTTTATAAGCCTGGGTACAAACATGTAATTTAATAAATAATCTGAAAACAATTAAATCATTATTACCTAAGTAACATTTTATGTAGTACATAATTTTATGCAGTACCTACCTATTTGGAAAAATATAGGTATAGTTGTTAATTTAAAATCACATAACAATGAATTACAATTAATAGTACGATTTTTAAGATTAAGGTTTTAAACGACTATCTACATAATATTATATTATATGCAAGAAAATGAGGTAATTTACCATACTTTATTATGTCACTAATTGGAGAGTACATTAATCTATTTATGATAGACTAAGGCATGTACACTCCCGCTGACAGTAAATTGCGGACGGGTTTGATTTATTTTATATTTTTATCTATTTTTTACCTTTTTCATATTTGTCCTTTTAATTTTTAAATCAATGTTATTAGTTATTACTAATCTCGATTAAAAATAAAATTATTTTATTTTATTCCCATACCCAATATTACACATTTCCTGTGAAATATTATTTTGTACTTAGTTTTGATTTTTCTTTTAAAGTCCATTTTCAATTTTCAATTTACAAAATATTTAAAACCTTAAAAATACGCCCACGAAAATTATACGCCCGGGGATAAATCCCCGACTTCCCCCCTAGATCCGGCCCTGGTTACATAGTTGAAATAGTAGTACCTACAATGATAAGATATATTATGTAGAAACAAATGAATTGACAGTGATTGTAAAACCGTAATGAATACATAAAACCGTGTTTAGAATAATTAGTTAAAAATGCAATAGTCAAGTTACAATAATGAACGTACATAACATTATATTTGTTTTATATAAACAATTGAATAGTTAAATCACAATAATACACATTATAATATATTTGCTTACATACAGACATGTAATTATTAAAAATGCAATACTTAAATTACAATATGTAGGTACGTGACATTATATTTTTTGTTAAATGAACAATTTAGTAGTTAAATTACAAATTATTTGTTATATAAGCAATTCAACAGTTAAATTACAATTATGTACATGACATAATATAATGGTATAAAAATTTAGTAGTAAAAATATTCATACAGGAAAGTAATATTATTAAAATTTAAAAAAACCAGTAACTATAATTTGTAAAATAACGTAAGAAAATCGAAAAAAAACATGTTTACCCACGTAAATACATATTATATTATAATACATAAAAAATGATATATGGTAGATTAATTTAAAAAAAATTAACGTAGTAGAAATATTGTAATTTTTATACACAAAGTAAAGTTAAAATAATAAAAATAGTAAAGAGAAAAGATCGGAAATTTGTAAAATTACGGAAAAAAAATGCAAAAAAAATCGGTGTTAGGGCGGCCGTGTAAACCATATGGCTTTGGCGACACTACCGCTCGGATAGCGTACGATGGATTTGAACCCGGGACCTACGTGTCTTCTACCTAACGCCTAACCTACTCGGACACAATTTGAGATGTGAAACATTGTCAAAACATCAACACTTAAGCCGTGCGTCTACGGAGCGACGTAAGCCGATATATTCGATGTACATCGATGTAATCGCATACAATTCGCTTGTAATACGCGCATCTCCCATATATATATTTAACGGGGCGCGTGAAAAGCGTTTTCCGTTAATAATTATTAAATCAATAGGCAAAAATTAAATTATACACGTATATACATCTATATTGTATATATACGCGTAGGGTCGGTCGTAATTTCTAAACGCGATTGCGAAGCGAACCTACCGATTTCGTAAGAAAAGCGTATATATACGGCTTTAGAAAGACGTCAACTACACGATTCGGGCACGAACGGCGTGCAAAAAGACGAAACTGTCGGAGAAAACGAAAAAAATCGGCAAAAAAGTCCGGCCGGGAGCGTATTTTGCGATCGACATTCCGACGGCTACGGACGGCGCACGGATATAAACCGCCCACCGGCGGCTTCGAGAGATCGCGATGCACGCGAATCGAGTATAAAAAAGGGCGAAAAACGATAGAAAACGGTCGAAATCGTGTGAAAAGAGTAAATGTTCGAAAATTTCAAAAATCGGCGGAATGATAAGAAAAGAAGTGATAACGCGGGGCCGGGCGACGGAATTTTCTGATTGGCGTTCCTTATTTGCTGCGTCGCGCCTGTCGGACAAAACTGGGGACTAACCTCGTTTTATAATATAAGAGATAATAGATACGTAATAGGTTATAAAAATTAAAATAACTAATCCAATTTATGAAACACCTGTTTACCTATTTAGTTTATCTTTATTAAACTTATCTCAGTAATTGTATTTTAATTATAATGTATAAATAATAGCATACGTGGATAGGTACCTACCAGTTACCTATAATTCAAATTAAGTAATTTATGACAGTCGATATTATTCTGCAGAAAGTGCCACTAGTGTCAGTAACTAATAAGAAATAAAAGTCGATATCTTGTAGTTTTAACTTTTAAAGCAGATTTAATACTTATCTATTAGTTAATATGGATAATAATTCAGAAAAAGTTGACATGCTTTTTACATATTGGGAATGTCAAAAAAATACACGTCTTGCCAAAGAAACCTATGCTCTTCGTTATCCGAGTAAATATGATTTAACAATACATTTAATTGTCTCTGCTTGATTTCCCATCATATTAATGTTTCTTATTTATAAATTCAGATAGGCAGCATCCATCACATAGTTTTTTTTATAAACTGGAAAAAAATTTAAGAGACACCGGTTCTTTTTCCAAACGAGTTATTAACCAACAACCAAGACGAGGAAATGCTATTGGAGAAGATGTTGAGGTACAAATACTAGCTTACGTTAGAGCAAATCCAAGGTCTTCTATTCGTCATGTTAGTAGACAAATAAACATTTCATATGGAGTAGTTCAAAAAATTTTAAAAAAACATAAAATGCACGCTTATCGTGCTGATTTAGTTCAACATTTACGTGAAGGTGACGCTGAACGTAGAATTACGTTCATTGCTTGGTTGGAAACCAAATTGATCGAAAATCCTTCCGTTTTAAATTACATTCTTTGGACAGACGAGTCTAAGTTTACAAATAATGGAGTTTTAAATAAACAGAACCATCGCTATTGGGATGACCAAAATCCTCATTGGACATTTGAGACCAACAATCAAAATGTGTGGGGAACGAATGTATGGTGTGGCTTAATAAATGGTAAACTATTAGGGCCATACTTTTACGATGGTACACTTAATGGAAGAAGGTATAATGATTTTTTACTAAATGAGCTCCCAAACATGTTAGATGACCTTCCACTAGACATAAGAGCAAATTTAATATTCCAACAAGACGGAGCTCCAGCCCACAATGCAAATATTGTGAGCAACTACCTTAATGAATATTTTCCAAATCGGTGGATAGGGACTTATGGAGCAGTTCAGTGGCCACCAAGGTCACCAGATCTTACACCACTAGATTACTTCCTATGGGGTCGCTTGAAAACGGTTGTGTATTCCAATCCACCTACTTGTCTTCTTGATTTGAAAAACAAAATAATTGCAGCATGTAATCAAATTACAGAGGAACAAATTATTTCTGCTATTAAACGACAATTTTTAATTCGTATTGAATGTTGTTTACAGCACCATGGTGCACAGTTCGAACAATTTGTTAGATAAATAAAAATTTTAGGAATAAAAAAAATCAATGTTTGTATTTTTATTTTACGTATTTATTATTATTTTATAATCTGTTTTATAATCAGATTACTATAACTCGGCCATTTTTTAACTTAGAAAAGAAATTCAACCACTGAAATTCATTAAAAAATACACTAAAAAATAATTTGTGGTCAAAAATAGGTCATGCCATTTAAAAAAAAAAATTATTGTGCGCATGCGCAAAATTAAGTGTCACAAAAATAGTCTAATTACTTGAAAATGTGTATAATAATGTTTATTAGTTAGCCAAAAAAACAGAATTGAAATATATGAAGCCTACGCATAGTTATTGAGTGTTTCCACTTATCGTGATCACACTGTATATCGCTGAAAGGGGTTGAACCTCATGGAATGTATAGAACTACCTTTATTTATAGACTATTACTTAAATTAATACTAGTTATAGTAGAATATCCTCTCTGTGATATTCTTTCTGGGATGCACCTGGGACAATCCCATCCAACACTAAGGTATACTTATTCCAATTTTTGTCTTACACTGGCTCTTGCCACGTTCTTCGTGTGCATCATTTAAATTATATCCTGAAGAATTCTACGCACAGTATTTAATACAATATTATTAAACAATATATGTTCTTGTATTAGCTGGATTAGAAAATTTAACTATGATAGTTGAGACAAAAATATATTCGATTGCCGGATAGTTCAAATGGTGAGGGGGAGGAGAAATGCGACCATTTTCTCTCGAGCCATATTTTAGGACAATTTCTATTTCCCCATAAAGTCATAGAGATAATAATACATACGGTACTTACTCGGTTTAGATATTTTAGAATCATACATCCAATATAGACATAGTTGCCAGTGTTATTATTTTAATATGAAACATAATAATTTATAAGTGACATCAACACCGGTACATGAGTTAGAACGACTTTAGTTGGTAAAATTTTCTAAAATTTTGCAAATCTCTGTGACAAATATTATTTTATCATAATATAGTGTTTTGATGATTTAGGTGCCCCTGCATTAATTTGTCCCGGGGCCCTAAGAATTTTGGGACGTCTCTGTTCGATTGAAATACATTCAAGAACAAATGCCATTGGGATACCGTTGTCAATAGACAAAATAATTTATGACAATAATTCAACGTCGGATAATGTCTTGCAAATAAATATCGATGAGTTTTATAAATACGGATTTATTCAAAATAATAGTCGTATGAATGTTTATTTTGATTCAAATTACTGGGAACGATCAACTATTGTATCTACGGGTAATATTTATTTAAATTTTAAATATTTTTTATTTAATAAAATAATACAATTTTCTATTAAGAAATATAATTTTTTTGTATATAATTTTCATATATTCATATCACTCAAATATGACATTTTTAATCATGTATCATTTTAATAGGAGAAGAATGCGAGTTCGACTATGTTACTCCTAGTAATCCTACAACGAATCTTACAGGTAATATAACTATAGCAAAGGTGCGTAATAATTTCATTGTCGAATTTACAACATATTATATGTAAATTATCAAAAAAAATAATGTTTTTTAATATGATAATAATTATAAATATCAAGTCGTTGAGTTAATTAATAATTGTAAAGTAGACGAATCCAGTACTCGTTTCGTATCGTTTCTCGTATTTTGTTTTCTTATATTATATTAAACAATTTAAAACACCGATTTCAAATTTTCAAACAGTTGCTGAACATGATTCTGGTTAATTAATTTTATGTTATAAAGCGACTTTAGACGAAAAATATAAAGTGGTAAGTTTATACATATAAAAATAATTTGCAATTAGGTATAAGTAGTAGTTGTAATAATAGTATTTGAAATAATTTGAAATTAATAAAGTTTTAAAATATATTATTTTTGATTCTGAGCTCCAATGAATGTATTGATTTCACTATAGTGTGTATGTGGGTTTTTTTATCAGTATACACGAAAAGTAGTAGAAAAATGCTTTGATTTTCAACTTTTAACGGCTTTTCTAATAGAAAATTGGATCTATTTGGTACTTATTGAGATCTAATTCAAAAACGAATAACACCTATTACTTTACATTTTCACTAAATATAAATATTACATAATAGGTATTACTAAAATGTAATTAACATTTTATTTACATTGAATAATTTTCCAAATATTTTTACTCTTGTGAAACATATTTATGGCATGAATACTTTTTGATTTAAAAATAAAAATAATAAAATCTTCAATTTGTATAGATATGGATTAAACATTTAATACTAGGTTCCTAATAAGTAGTTCGTAGTTAATTCTGTAACCACAAAGTCTTAAGAAATATATTAGCTCAGTTTTTTTTATAGACATTTTAAGTTAAATTTTGCTAAAATTTGATAGTTAATCGAATGGCAACAATTTGAGTTATTTTTTGTATATAAAATATATTATTAGTGGCCCGTCGTGGGTACTTTAAACTGTTAACCTATATTAATATTATATTTTATACGCACAATGACACTTTCAAATGCAATGTTTTATTTTCAGAATACAGCCTGAATGAATGTATTAAAACATTAGAATATAAATATGAAAGACATTATTATCCATATACGGCAAATGAGGATGTTCATCAGACGTTCCTCACGGTTCATTGGAAGCCAATTAAAAAACAAAGTTGCATATCAATTACATATTTTCATAATTTAGATTCTGATATGGAAATAATTATGAGTATATTCAATGAAAATGGTACGATAATAACTTCACCAATATTAGAAAAACTTGTGAGTACAATAATTTCCGCTTAATATTAAAAATTCAAACAATAAATGTGTAGGAGGGGCTCATGATTATTTTTATTTATTTTTCTAAGACATATTTATTTGTAATGAACACCGATTATAGTGTTAATTCCGAATTTATTATGTCTTCATTTAAATAATGATAATTCGTTATTACTTCTTAGAATTTAAAACAAAAACCGGTCATTGAATCTCTATCCAAATTAAAAAAAAAAAAAAGTAATTTTGATTTTATTAAACCAAAATGTATTCATTGGTAAAAAAATAAATATTATAACACATTATTATAAATACTTTTTTTAATAGTGGGAAATTATTATAATCAATATAATATTACAGATCAGAAATTAAATTTAATAATTGAAAATATGTATCAATTTCAATACCTATATTATAATACGTTATTAAGTTGAATTTTTTTTTTGGCTTACAGGATAGTATAACAACATTAAAAGTTGACAACATGGCTCTTATTCAAGATCAGGAATATAAAATTTCATTAGAAAGGAAATATGGTAATATGCATAACTATTACGGATATAACAGTAATTTTGGAAATTGGTTCAAACTCATTCGGATTACTCAATGTTCAGATAATGGTATTTTTTTTTTTGTAATATTTGATGTATGTATGTTAGTCAATGGAAAAAAAACAAACCATCGTGGATATTTCAGTTAATCTTTAAAGTTAAATATTTAGAATAAAATAACAAGCTTATAGGTACGAAAATTAATATATTACTATTATGAATTATAAATTATTTAGGTACCTACTTATAGATTAAGTAGATATAATTTTTATCAAAAACATTGTAAATGTAACCATAAAATATAACAAATACATGTTTAATATTCTGCATGACTTTGAAAAAAAGGCCAACTTAAGCAGTTAAACTATTGACGAGCTAAACAAAGTTTTACACAATAAAAGTCCAAACCATAAAATACAATATTATTTAAGTTAAAATGACATAATTACTATATAAAAATTAATACATTTCATATAGACTTTAAAGAGAGGGAACTTCCAGGGCTTATAGTAACCCCAGAAATGTCAATAGCCCCCCCCCCCTCCAAAAAAAAAAAATTACGTACATCCGGGGACTATGTAAATACTAAATAGTAATGTTCTTACTTTTAAAAATGCTCCCTTTCCAGAAATAAAAGTTCAACCAAATGTTTTCCTATGATCTTATAAATTATATGTTATCATATATGTGAATACCTTAAATTAATTTAGATTTCAAAGTTTAAAGTGTTTAAAAACTAACCATGTAATTATTACATTAAATAAAAAAATTATTTTGTTATTTGCTCCTATAGATGAAGAAGAAGTAAGAGTTGTTTCTATGAATGATATTGATAATTATTGGTGTAAACCTCAGGAGCCCTTCCCATATACTACTCCATTACTTCATATACTCGGAAATGGTAAGAATATACAAAAATACATCCATTTAAAAAAAAAATTGAGACTCCTCTGGATTAAAAAGGCCACTGGGGAATGAGTTTTTATATTTTTAATATATCAGATAAAGTTTGCAATGATGTGTTATTCTTATTTTCGTAAAACACTTTGTCAGTAAAAAAGTGAATTAAGTTTCAAAAATTATCTTGGTTAATTACAAATTGGAAATACCTAAGCGTCCTATGCGTCAATCCACATGTAGTACTTTAAAAATACATTTTTCAAATATTTAAATTGTATATTACCTTATGAATTATGTATTATTTGTTCATTTCATTTTCACGTTGTATAAAAATTTTATAAGTTTACTTTGTAAATATATTTTAGCATTACGTTATTCATATATTTTTTTTTTTAAATTAAATATAGATAATACTAGTGTCTGCGACAAAATGACAGTATCCTCAACTGAATCTTGTTTAAATGGAGGTTTCATGCAATCAACAAGATCGACGTGCGTTTGCCCTCCTGGATTTAAAGGACAATTTTGTGAAATAGGTAATTAAACATAAATCGTAAAAAAATATATTCATATTATAGTTACTTTTTTATCGTTGAAGACAGTTTTTTATTACTTAAAAATTATAATACGGTAATATGGGAATATATTAATATAGGAATATGATATAAAATATGTTGAATAATTTTTTGTGCTATATGTACAGATAATATAATACTGTTTATATATGCAAGTTAAATTTAAAAAACAGTAAAAATATATTAGGTAGGTACCTATTTGAAAAATGTCTTACTACAATTTTACAATTACTATAATATGTATTTAATACGATAACTAATTTGAGAATTGAGAATAATATATTAAAACAGTATAATCCATGTTTAAAATATATGGAGTATTATATGACGTATAGATAGTAAATTGTACAATTAATACTTTGTATAATTAAATCTTTAGGATGGCACCATTGAAATTAATAATTATTAAAATACTCAACATTTTAATTTTTTTTTATTTTATACGTATAAACAGTTATAAGTTATAACTAATAAGTAATAACTTATTAATTCAATCTGCTTTTGAGAAGCTATTTATTATTTATTAACATAAGTATAAATATTAAGAAATAAAATATATATTCCAGGATGTGGATCTAATTATTATGGAGCCGATTGTAAAGGTGTTTGTTCAATGCATGACAATGAAATGTGTCGTGGATTATTAATGTGTACACAATTGTATGGCTGTACATGTCCACCCGGCCTAACTGGTCTATTTTGTGACCAAGGTATTTAAGTTTAAAGTATATTATTATATTTACAATTTGTTTCCAAAATATATGAAGTGTAACTTTGTTAACATACATTTTTTTTTATAGACTGTATACCGGGTAAATATGGTGCAGATTGTAAACAAACCTGTTCATCGAATTGTCATAACAATAAATGTGACCAATATACTGGCATCTGTTATCAAGGATGTTCAGAAGGATATTTACCACCTTACTGTCTACAAAGTAAGATACAAAACTTTATAGAAAATAAAAACTATAAATATCACAATTAAAATATTGTCAATTATGTTTTAATTATTATCAAAGGAAACAAGTCAAGGGAAATTTTTTTTTTATTTTTTCTAAATAGATATAGTAAACTAAAGAAATTATAAATGCTATTCTTATGCTATTCTAATGCTATCTTCTAATTTATAAACCATTGAAATATGGAATCCATTTAATAATCTTTATATTTTCCTCATAGAAACAGACTTGATTTATGAAGCACCAAACCCTTAATACATTAGCCGATTTTGGGAGTGTAAAATATTGTAATTTATATTAAGAAGACATCGCATCCGCGTATTTTGTCTCCGTCCTACAAACGCATAATACACCAAAGTGTACTTCCAGCAGTAGGTACCTTTGGAAACGTGGGCATCAACTAGTTAGCTTATTTTCTAATCAACTTATGAACTTAACTAGTTTAATTTACAATTGAAATAACTTAGATTTTCTCAATTGATTTCAAAAAAATCCATCAAGTTAAAAACATTTTGAAAATTTTTGTTTATACCTAAATATTACTATATCAGTATAAAATAAAAATAATCCAATACAAAAACACAAACATTTCTGTTCTTTGTCTTGATCACATAATTTTGTGTATATTAATATATTTTTATTAAGTTGTACATTTTATGTTATGCGAGTTGCAATTATGAATGTTTTTAATAAAATTAATAATTTTAAATTACAAATTGACAATTGTTATGTTTTAATATTATATAACTTATAATATATAATGAAGGTACTGATGTACTATATCTTCACGTATTATGACATTCAATTGCTATACGATATAAAAAAATATATTTTTTAAATTATTAAATTGAGATGAGTAAAGTTCAAATTAGTAAATAATAGTAAAGTAAAAGTAAAATGGTATACAGTAGGTATACATTATGATAAAAGTTCAATAAAATTGTTTTTACTATTTATAAATTAGAAACTAGAAAGACACATTCACTCTTTATGTGATTTACATAATAATTTTAAAAAAAATAGATTAACTTTTTTTAAACTGAGTTAAGTTAATTTTTTTTTTCTATATTAACTTTTACCTTATCGGTTAAATTAAAAATTTGTTAACTGTTAACTTTTAACTTAGGTATCGATCTTGTGTCCTCTTAATTTAACTTAACTTGAGTTAATTATTTTCATTAACTTTCCCACCTTTTGCAATTTTGTATTGTTAGCTTAAATATAATAGTGAATTGACCTATTATCAAACTTAAATGCAAGAGCATTATATGTGTTCTCTCGTTGGTTTTATAAAATATTTTAATTTTTAAGTGAATTAAGAGCTGCATTTTTAAATATTAATATTTCACATACTCATAACTCACTTAAAAAATAAAATATCGTAAAAAACTAAAGAGAGAACACAAATAATGTTCTTGAATTTAAGTTTGACAATATGTTATTACTTATTTCACTCTATAATATTTAAGCTAACAACACAAAATTGGAACGGCTGGAAGTACATTTTGAATAGATATTATGCGTTAGTAAGACGGAGATAACACATTATGTGGGTATGACGTCCCTTAATAATAATATAAATAAATATTTTATTCTAATTTGTTTCATTTTTAAGGATATCCATACCTCATCAGTCCACCTAAACTTCTTTCAAACGAATACGAGGCGATAGAGATGGAATTGAATTTCAAATCGGATAATATAAAAGGAGGAGATAACAATATAAAGTTGAAATACTATCAAATATTTTATAAAGTATGTTAAATTTTTTTGTGAAACGGTTTAGTCGTATTTGATTTAATTTCAATAAATACTAATGTATTGATAATAGTACCAAGTATTAATATCAATATATTTATGATACAATACACTTGAATACAGCGACAATTAAAGCAAAAATAAATAGGTACTATAGTTCAATCGGTATTTGACTTTTCTAACAATGTTAAATAAACACACATTTTACTAAGATATTCTATAGTTATACGTTTAGTTCAAAGATTTATTCTTATAGACAGCAATTTATTGAAAAAAAACTAAGTATGAAAATGTATGAATTATATTTTAATATTTAATATTTACTATTTTATTATACTATACTGGAATAATGTATTTTTTCACTGTAATGGGATAAAAATAATTCTGGATAATATAGTAAATGTACATAATAATCAAAATAGATTGACCAATAAAATATATATCCAATACATACCCATAAAGTTCACACAAATATGTGAAATATTTTATTCTATAATTTATGATTTTAGTCAATAATTGAAGAGGAATTTACAAAATCTGAAATTAAACTAATAAATGAAACTAGTAATAGAACCACAGTCATTATACACGATTTAGAACCAGATACCACATATATAATTGGTGTTCTGGTAATAACAAATGATGGGAATTTCAATAGTGAAGATATTGTTTTTAATCAATATAAGACATCATGTATCCGTAAGTATTATGGATCAATAATTAAACCAAAAATATCTTTAAAAAAAAATTAAAAAACCTAATATTGCTTACAATAATTAAATTATCAATATAAACCAGATAAAAAATGTCAATACTTCAGTAATTATAATTACGTACTTGAAGCAAAAAAATGTTTTTAAATTTAAAATAATTTTTGGATATAGACTGCAGTTTTCAAAAAGTTACGTGTCAATTTATATTTATTATTTATAACGAAAATGTCCATTTCAATTTCAATAGTAAATACAAAACTATTATAATTTATAACTAACCATAATCTCAATTATAACTTAACTGAAATAATGTATTTCAAAAATAATATATCTAGCATTATATACAGCATTTATTGAGTAAAGATAACACTTATAATAATTATACATTTATAACGTTAACGATCACCTATCTATAGATTTTAAATAAACATTTTTATTTTAAAATAATACAACAACAAAAATTTGGTTAATTAAACTTATCATAAATTAATATTAATATAAAACCATTAATAAAATCTAAACAGTGAATACTAAGTACCCATGTATTTTTGTTATGTGATTTAAAGTTTAATTTTTTTTATTTGTTAATATTGTTAAATATTTTATAGAACCTTATATTACTGATTATAACGTTCAGTTAACCAGTGGGATAAAAAGCGTCAGCATACAATGGGATAAAGTATGTACACTTATTAATTTTAATTTATTGAAATATTCAATTTTTAATACTTGCGTGTAATTAGAAACCAAAACGTCATTGTTTAAATATACAGTTTTATTATAATGGATAAGTAACATTATGAATTTACAGATACATCTTAAACGATTAGAATGCAATATAATTGAATATGTTTTGACATTAACGTTTAACCAATCACAAAATCAAATGACTGGTATCGAAGAAATAAAATCAAGTTCCAATTATAGTGGAATCTCAATAGGAAATCTTTATCCTGGATACAATTATAGTATATCTCTGACTCCTAAGACTAATAAAGGACTATTAATTTCGTCACCTACTTATTCATTTACTCCCCTAATAACAAGTAACTTATTGTTTTTTTATTAACCTATACAAGCACATATACAGAATATTTTTGTGGTTCAAAATCTCCCACCACACCACCCAAATTTATTTTGCAAGAAATATTGATTTTTTTGACATTACAGTATGATATTTAATTAACTGAATTATCTGAATTAACTGAAAGATTGTAGCTTACTTATAAATCGCCACCAGAATTATTTCTGTATTTGTGCATGAACCTATCGGCTATCATATATCGATTCAATATTATATTTTAATTATAGAAAACGACGTCATTATTAAAGATACTGTTGCAACTACGACTAATAATAAAATTAAAATCTCCTGGAAATTAGTAAATGCTTACCAACACGACCAAATAGTTGTAAATGCACCTTTTACGTATGTTGTCAGATTCAAAGTAATTGAAATTGTTTTTTAAGTATATTTATATTCTATAATATAGTACTATGTATATATTAGTTTATATATATTATAGTTACCTATATTAGTTTGTATTTTTATTATAAAAATTATTTTTCAAATTTATTTCAGCTGCAACGAATTTTCAGTTGCTCTTTGGAAAAATTAGAAAACAATTGGACGTCAATTATAATTTTCAATAGAACGAATTATGAAATATCCGCGATACCTAATTCGCAGTACTGTATACAAGTTACAGTTGCTAATGATGGCATAAATACTCAACGAGGATGCCAGATTTACGCATTAACACCAGCATCAAGTAAAGTTTAACGAAAGTATTTTGTATTCATATTTTGATGAGTGATTTATGTTTCTGATTAGGTCCACAAATTGAACCTATTTTTGACCTTGAATACCCAATGTATGTGACAAATGACTCGCTGTTTGTTCAGTGGAAAATCGATCCCGTAAATTGTTCAAAGTTAAATGGATTCTTATCAACGTTTTATATTGAATTAAAGGTAAATTCTGGAAGTAAACGTTTAATCGTTTATTTGTAAAATTAAAAATATATATTTCTTAAAGGATATGGTAGATGACACACTGGAAATTATAGAAACGAAACAATACTATCTTTACACCAATAAGCTGAAATCAAATAATGATTATGAAGTAAAAGTGTTTATAAAAACACACATCGGTTATAATCTTGAACATTATCTGTTCACCAATTTTACAACTAAATCAAGATGTAAGTTCATTATTATTATGAATTATTTATTTACATAGCAATATAATATTATATATTTTTTTTTTATGCACACGCAGATTTAGCACCAGTTGATGACTTAGTAGTTTATAAAAAAAGTCTTAAATATCAGTTAGTAGGGCTTCGTTGGTATTATTCAGAAGATGCAAATTTAGACGGATTTATAGTTTCAATTAATGATTCTATTACTTACGATATTTCTATAATTGCCCCAACGAAATGTTCCGCTTGGCCAGAATACTATTGCCATACTTATCATAATTTGAGCCCTATGAACAACTTCACATTTAAAGTACGTATTGTTAGACGATATAGAATATTTAATTATATACCTAATTAAATCGATTGGTAATTATATGATTTATGAAATTGTATTTTGTATTAGATAAAACCAAAGTCGTTCGATTATCCTGAAGGTGGTCATGTGTCGTCCATTTCATTTAACTTAAACGATGAATGTGAGTCAGATAAATGGTTAAGCTTAAGATTCAAAAAATCTAAGTTCTAACTATTATGTTTTTTTTTAACATTTTATTATCATGGACTTATTAAATGTTCTGTTTAGTGCCAGACTCTCCAAATAATTTAAAAATTATTGACATTGGAAATACTTTTATGACTCTCCAGTGGGATATACCATGGATATTTAATGGTGTCTTGAAAATGTACATCATTAACGTAGAAGAAATATCATATAAAGATATGAATTCAAATTCTGGCATTCAAACAACAGAATTACCAATTTACGATGAATTACCTTCTTATAATTATACGGTAATTCATTAAAGCTTAAAACTTGAAATTGTAATAGTTATATTAGATATTTAGAATTCTAATTAATAATATAATCTCACTTGTTAACTGTATCTCGTTGCCATAAATGTATTAAGTACCTACCTGGTACAACCACCAAAATTGCAAAATCTTGCCAAGCTGTTTGTAGAGTTTGTTACAGAATGAACTTTTTACAGCTTAATTCCGTTATTCCGCTATATTCAATAGGCTTATCCAGTATTTCAGTATTGATTACCAGTTTGTTTGTTTCTTTACATAGGTAGCCCATAAAGGCTTCAAATAATACTACATTTTAAAAAAGACCATTCTACCTACATAAAAAAAGTTACTCCATCCAATAATATAAAGAAATGATCTGAAAATTAACTTAATGAATAATGATATATTTTAATTTTTCAGATTTTTATCACTTAGTAGGTCCATTTTAGAAATCGTTGGTAATTGAAAACCAATAAACTGATCGCCGTTTTCAGACTATAAAATTGTATATTATATTTTTATTTTTCTAACACTTTATATTAGTGCAACCATCGTTGCCATTCGATCAAATTGTTTTAAATAATTTTTATTCTAAACGAAGATTTGATTGTTAAGATCATTGTTGATGGTCCGTTGGCTGCCCATTTTCTTACTGGCCTTTACCATAGTTTCCTTGTTGATCGGTACTTCCATTATAGTTTCACTACCTAGTGTAACAGTAGTGTAATTAGACGGGTCCTCTTCAAGTACACGATCCTATATTTTTCTATACCTCAACCAACTATGGAAATAACCCAAATTACAGCGTCAGATTCTGAACTAAATCGATATTTTGAAACGAGGTTCCATCAAACAACACAACCTGTATTCGTTTTCTGGGCTTGATAAAATTGATTCCGCGCACTGAAATATGACTTTTTTGGTTCAAAATGTTCGGATAAAATAGATGAAAATGTTTTGCTGGGATCAGCGTAATAAAACGATTGTTAGACCACAGAACTTAATTATCTTCTTTTTTAAACGTCAGTTGTTTTAATCGTATTATTGTAATATTACCTACATTAAATCAATCTAATATTTTACAGGTCAAAAATCTAAACCCTGGCTCGACTTATTCAATTGGAATATTATCCGTGTCTACGTCGCTATGGTATAGTTTTCCGATCAAAATTCAAGCAAAAACACTTGTAGGCACTTAATTATTGTTTATGTGACTAATGTTTATTATTTTTTATCAACAGTAATTTATATTTAATACAAGTCAAAATCATAATAATTAGCATTATTTTTCTTTATTATTTATCTAACACAATCATGATAATATTATGTTATATTATTAAGTGCTTTTCTATACATATTATTATTTATACATTATATTTTGTAGTTCATGCTAATTTATATTGTAGCGTGTAGACGTTTAAGTGTTTAAAAACGGTGAAACATTATACTTTAACCTTTAAGACTTATTTTATCAGAGTCAATATTATGTTTTTTTAATAATTATACTGTTATTTAGTAGAGAACTGAGTGGTTTGAATTTAATTAGTATAAATATTTAATAGATTTGAAAATTGAAGGTATAAATCGATTTACGCGCTTTATTATTATTCATTGTAATTTGTAAATTTGAAAACAACGAAGACTTCTCAATGCACTCGAAAAACAACCGTTCTACATAAAAGTGTTCACTATATATTATAGTGGCCTAGTCTTTCTTTCGTTTTCGATCACAAACAACAATATTGAGGGTTTTAACTATTGCAAGTTATTAATTCCGATTTAATTAATATCACGTCCGTGCAGGTTATATAATATTATATACATACTATGCGTCATATCCTATAAGTATAGGTTTTAAAGTGGCACATTCAATTAATTAAATTTGTTACTCTTTCATCCTGTAAAATATGTAAACCAATTAACTCAAGACTTACAGTAAAGTTGATACTTAATAGTTTTGTTTAGTAGAAATATCACAATCTCAAATTAATATTCTAGAATGACGTGGATGTGCTTGCTAACTTTGCTCTATACTACATCTGTAGTAGTAGGGATTTTTGGACACCCTTTCAAATAGCCAACAACCAGAAATCGAACTGTCAACGAAATATTTTTTTTTAACACATAATCAAAATAAAATTGTTATTAAAATAATTCAGTGCAGGTCCGTGAACTAACTTCATAAAACATAATCGAGAACTAGCGATGTCTACCAGTGATAATTAAATGTAGATTTTTTTTATCATACTAAGCACTTAAATATAGGTATGGGTATTCTATAATATGTGGACTGATTTAGAAGCTGTTTTGAGTTAAAGTTCAGAGTCCGGAACACATTTAGATTGATAAAAACGATAATAATTTCAAACACAATTTTATGTTATAAACTTATTCAAGGTGGTGTTAAAAGTAAAGTAAATAGTTGTTTGTGATATAATATAATATTGTGTACCTACCTAGATATAGTCCGCTGAAAATGTATTATAGTCAGTACATAACTAAACACTGACAATCCTGTCAAGAAACTTGTTGGCACATTTTGGTTATGGATTACAAACTTAAGGTTGTATTAAATAGTTAAAAAACTATATAATTATTTTATGAATTTTTATAACCACACATAATGAATCGAATAAATCGGAATCATTATGGTAACATGTTCTTGTTACCAGCAATATATTATATCTTGTTGTGCGTACAAATTTTGAATGCTTATGATGAACATGAACCAAGTGTCACTATTTCACAGCATTTTCATAAAGCTAGTAAGTACCTACAAGCAAATATTATTTAACGTTACAACAAAGTCTAATAACAAAATACATTTTTTCAAATATGTCATTAGATTTCTAGTTAATTTAATTTAATTTGTTTATTTATTTTTATACTACTTTATTCTACTTTTGTAGAACTTAATAATAATGTAGGTATCTAATATTAATTAAAATATATAGCTTAAATTCCATAAATTAATTAGTTTGACTTTTAAAAAAAGGAACGCTTTTAAATTTTTAAGAAATAAAATGATATGATATATTTATAGAAACTATTTTATTGTAAGCAAATAAAGCTCATTAGTCAATACCACTATGGGGCACTATACCACTTGAAAATATTAAATCTATTCAATTTATTTTAAATTATATATTAACTAAATTATTATATTTTATTTCTAAATACAAGCTGTATAATATTTTCACCACCAAATTAGATAACAAAAACACATAAAATCTCAAAAATATCATGTGTATTTATAATTACATAATACAATTTAAAAATATATTGCAGATTACGATAAGGTAATTAACTGTTCGTTTATTTTTATTTTAGATTGCCTTGATGATTATGATATTACTACAATCTATAGACTCGCGGATCCACGTTTAACTTACGACAATGGTTTGTTAGGTAAAAAAATACAGTTCTTATTCGACACAACAAATATAAGTTTTAGATGATAAAATATTATATAAATAAATAATATTATTGTTTAAACTGTTATTTTATGTTATGCTTACCGAAGCGAAAGGTACACTATAATATAATTTAAATCAAATTTTACTCATTTGATATAGGAGCATTATGGTTATCAGTAGAATTCGATCATTAATTTTTCGTTAAACGTCTGACAAAACACATAAAACTATTTAATGTCTGTTTAACAAAATTAAGTATTGATCTATGGTTAATCGAGTTAATAGACTTTATAATACAATTAGTGATAGTAAAACGTGAGAATGATTATATTTGGTAGGTACTGAAGGCTTCTGGGGTTTCTGAACGGCTGACATTATTTTTTTATTTTTTAATCAATTCCTAGATTATTTATCCAGGTTACAACTTTATATTGTTTTATGCAATGTGCTAGGAATTATCGTACCAATAGTAATTATTCAAGTATTATTTAAGTAAAACGAAATATAACTTATACTGATTGGTGATTGACTATGTAATTTAATATTTTATTTTTTTTTATATTATATTACCTATTATATTACATTATATTTATTTTCATACAATTTATTATTATTATTGTTTTATAATTTTATTTTTATTATTTATATTTATATTTATTTCATTAATTATATTAAAACGATGTGAATACTCACTGTTGAAGAATTGGGTGTTAGCAAACTGGGAGTCATCGAATTTTGAGTCGGCGGAATGCGGATTGGGTGTCGGTGAACTGGGAAATTGCTGGGGGTAGAGATCCCACTTTGATATTTTTTTCAGTATCTTAAATATTTATGACCTTATAACCATAAATTACATTTGCAATAATCAAATAGTGCATTTTAACAAATCAGTCTAAACGATATTTTTTCTGATGATTATACAGCGAGATTACACACAAATTTACTATAACTTACTATAGGTATGTATACTATTGTACTTTCTATCTATAATTTAGGTATTACTGAAGTACCTATTCCCCACTATAAGCCGTAAGGAAATTACCTTATTTACCTATATACAATTTTAAATGTATGAATATGATTTCTATATTTAAGATATTCTTCATTATTTTTAAGATATTTATAATAATATGTATATTATATTATATTAAAAGCATTATTATAATATTTTATTAGATAGTTCAAATGTGACGTCAAATAGTAACTATTCAATTGAATCAATTGAAATACATTCCAGAACAAATGCTATTGGAATACCTATGTTAATTGGAAATCAAATTGACAACAATTCTCTGTCAGATGCTATTTTACAATTTAATTTGGCGGAATTTTATAAATATGGGTTTATGCCAAATAATAGCCGTATGGAAATTTATTTGGATTCAAATTACTGGAAACGATCAACTATTTTACTAACGGGTAATATAATTATATAAAATGTTTATTCTGTTTAAATCATTTTTAGTTAACATAATATTGTCATTTTCTATTAAGAAATGTCATTACTCATTAGTAATTTATACTATATACTTATATATATATATATTATATATCTTCTCAATAAAAAATTAAGTTATTAATTCTGTATAATTTTAATAGGAGACAAATGTGGGTTCGACTCTGTTTCTTCTACTACGAATTATAATACAGGTAAATTTAACTAAAACGTGAGTAACTATATTAGTTTTATAATTATTAGTCAAAGTAACAAAATATCATTTTAACAATCAATCAAAATTAATGTATTAAAATATAATATGATCACATACAAATAATCCTAAAAGGCAATGAAAACAATAAAGTATCAGCTCCATTCAGAAAAAAATATTAAAATAAGTACAAATGTAATGACTTATTAGTTTTCAGGACGTGCGTAATAATAATGCACCACACACTCATGCACTGTTTTGAGCAGAGGAAAGAAAATAATCTTCAAAAATATAATATAATACCTACCAAGTATATTATATTGTTTAAAGCCCCGAGATTTTTTTATTACTGTATAGACAATAGACATAATAAATTATAAATTAATATTCATCCTATACTAAATTAATCAATTAATTTCTCATCAATGCCCAATGATATGTTTTAATATTTTAGTTTTTGCTTCCAGAATTCAAGTTGAATGAATGCATCGATGCGTTAGAATATAAATATGACAAACATTTCTATCCATATTCAGCAAGAGATGATATTCATCAGACTTTTCTAAAAATTCATTGGAAGCCAGCTAAAAAACAAACTTGCTTATCAATTACATACTATCATAGTTGGGACTCTGAAATGGAAATCATTATGAGTATATCCAGTGAAAATGATACGTTAATAACTTCTTCTATATTAGAAAAAAAAGTGAGTTAAATTGTGTTCAATATTTTAAATGTAGAACTAGCAAGAGTGAGAATGCTTCACAGTTATCTGTACATATAATTTTTTGAACATTTTGAACAAATAAACATACTATAGTATGATGTATATAAATACTGTTATTCCCAGAAAAAAGAGTATTCAAAGATAGTATCATAAATGCGGATATTCTATTATTGTTTTGTTCTAAATACATGATTATTAATTATTATGTATTTATTTTGAAATTTAAAATCAATACTTGTAGATAAATATTTATAATTCGTTTTTTCAAAAACAATTTTTTTAGAAAATTTTTAATTTAGCCTTATATTTGAATCCCTAGTTTTCAGTGTCACGATTTATTGGTACCACTAGTACTTCATATTATAATACAATACGCGATGTTAAATTGAAAATTAATTTTGCATATAGGATAGCATAATGACATTAAAAGTGACCAACATGGCCCTTATTCAAGATCAGAAATATAAAATGCTATTAAAAAGAAAATATAGTAGTACGCTTAACTATAACGATTACAATAGTTATTTGGGAAATTGGTTTGAACTCATACGGATTACTCAATGTTCAGATGAAGGTATTTATTGACTATAATATAGTATTATTATTTACATATGTACAGGTTATGCTAAATAATGAAACTAACAAAAACCATCGAAGATAATATTATTTATCTTTTATACAAAAATAAGATAATATTATTTATGTTTTATACAAATAAGATAATTCAAGTTCCTTTTTATCGTATTTCAATTAATAATTTACCTTTTAACAATTGATGAATATAAGCTAGGCACACACTTTAAAAGGAGTTAGGCCATATAATATGAATCAATTGAAAGTAATGACAAGGGTACTTATTTTATACATATTTTATACATAAAATAGGTATTTGAATTTTTAATTGCATTACCTATTATAATAATTATGTAAATTTTAACTAATTTATATTTTTTAAATATTAATCTAAAACATATTTTACCATTTTATGAATATTAAATTTCATGGCATACCATATTTTTTGTATTTTTTCCTAGATGAAGAAGAAGTAAGAGTTGTTTCTATAAATGACATTGGTCATTGGTTTGAAGGTCCAAAGCCCTTCAATATACTCGGAAACGGTATGCACACAAAAAAACGAGCTTTCAACTAAATTCTTTCGTTTTTTTTGAATATATAATAAATACAATTATTTAGTTTTAAATTATTTTAGCTGCAACCTATTACCTATACTATAATATTTAAATTTAATGTCCTTAAAAATGTATCATGTATTATATATGTACATTTGTATGTAATGTATCATCGTTTAGTTTTACTTTGTAAATATATTTTTCCATTTCATTATTAAAATATTATTTTAATAATAAATATAGATGATACCACTGTCTGTAACAAAATACAATCCTCAACTAAATCTTGTTTAAATGGAGGTTTCATGCAATCAACAAGACAAACATGCGTTTGCCCTCCTGGATTTAAAGGACAATTTTGTGAAATAGGTAATTAAAATTCGTAGTTATAAATAATATCAGGTCTCTGCAACTTTAATATATACCAATATTTTTAAATGTTGTAAATCACAAGTTATTAACTCTATAATAATATTCTGTTAGTAACCTATTGATTCAAGATGCTGAACATTTTGATCATACGCATGAATATAAAAATTATTAAGAAATAAAATACTTTCCAGGATGTGGATCAAATTTTTATGGAGCTGATTGTAATGGTGCTTGTTCGATGCATGCTAATGAAATATGTCGAGGATTGTTGATGTGCACGAAATATTATGGCTGTACATGTCCAGTAGGCCTCACTGGTCCATTGTGTAACATAGGTTTGAAAAATATTATTTTTACACGATTTTTTTCAATAAATGAATAAAGTAAAATAAATAAAATATAGGTAATATGTTAGCACACATTTTTCTATATAGATTGTGAACCTGGTAAATATGGTGCGGATTGTAAGCAAACATGTTCATCGAATTGTCATAACAATAAATGTGACCAATATACTGGCATCTGTTATCATGGATGTTCACAAGGATATTTACCACCATATTGTCTACAAAGTAAGATTCAACTCTCTGGAATAAAATAAGTATAAATATCACAATTACAATTTGCAATTATTGTATTTTTATAATTCTAACATTTCGTCATTCCAGAGTAATAAACGAATACTAAACCCACTTTAAATTTATTTTATAAAAATGATTGTCAAAAAACTATCTTAAAGAATTAAACAACCAACTCCAAATACTTACCTACTATAGTGTTTAGATTTCGATACATCACTCATCAGCCATTCAATCTAAAACTAGCCTCAATAATATTATAGCTATTAATAATATGATATATTTTTAATTGTAATGGTTTCACTTTTAGGATATCCATACCTAATTAATCCACCTAAACTTCTTTCGTCCAAATACGATGCATTGGAAATGGAATTGAATTTCAAACTGGATAATGTTAAAGGAGGCGATACAAATATAAAGTTGAAATATTATCAAATATTTTATAAGGTACCTACCTAATCTAACTTATTTTTGGAAAATATTCAGTTTTAATTTATTTATTTTAAATAAATACTACTGTATTGATATTTATCAGAATTAATATGATAGTATTTATAGGTACCTACCTAACGTTATACTAAAAATAAATAATGTATTTTAATCAATCTATTTGCTTATTATTACTTCCTAATAAAATTAGACTATGATGTTCAGATGTTCTACAGCTGAAAATTATATTCAATTTATTATATGGGTAGGTACTAATTTCTATAAGACTTAAGGTGATATACCTATCAGATATATTTCATCTATTAGTTATGTTATATTAGAATTTAAATTTTTGTAGGTAGGTATTAATCAATAGAAATACATGGAAAATTTAGTTATTATTCTATATAATTAATATTTTCACTTTTTTAGCCAATAATTGAAGACGAATTTACAAAATCTGAAATTAAACTCATTAATGAAACTAGTAATGCAACTATAGATATTTTAAATGATTTAATACCAGATACCACATATATGATTGGTGTTTTGATTATAACTGACGATGGGAATTTCAATCTTGAAAGTATAGTTTATGGTCAATACAAGACATCGCATTGTATCCGTGAGTATTTTTGATACCTACTTTGTTATTGAATTAAAACTGATTTAAAAACCTTTATTACATACAATTATATTATAGAAATTTAAAAATATACAAAAATTATAAGTAAATTAGTTTTAATATTTATAAATACACATTCTAGTTGTATTTATTTTTAAAAATGCTTTATAGATTTATAAAATATTTTGAATATTACATTTATATGTTTATCATTTTTTTTTTTCAATTGTAATGCCAAGTACCTACATACTTTAAACACTCTTGTGTCATAATCTAATTTAGTTAAACATTGCATTTGAAAAATTAGACGTGTTTTGATTTATATCATTATAATACTATTAAGTGGGGCCTGGTGTTGCATGGTGGTTGGCCGCAGTCACTAACGTGTTCTGAGGTCTATTCCAAAAACTGTACCCCCCCCCCCATATAAAAACAGGATAATGACCATGCAGTTAATGCCTCAAAATTATTGATCATGTACTTTTTAAATAATAAAACTGCGTATCTAAATTATACAAAATAAGGTAAGTAAACAGGTATTGATACATACAAATAAAACCATTATTATTTTACTTTAATTTGATGTAAAGTATAGGTACCTACCTGATTTAGATTTTAAAACTTATTAAATATTATTCTATTTTTTTAGAGCCTGAAATAACTGATTATAACATTAAATTGATCAGTGGGATAAAAAGCGTCAATATAACATGGAATGAAGTTAGTATAACTATGTAAATTTTGTTGAATAAACTTGGACATTTAGTTAAAAACTAAAACTTAATTGTTTATTATAGTTTTATTATGGCTTGTAACATTATTTATTTATAGATAATACCCAAACAGTTAGAATGCAAAATTACTGAATATGTTATTACGTTAACATTTAATCAAACACAAAATAAAATGTCTGGTGTTAAAGAAATAAAATCAAGTTTCAATACTAGCCACTTAATAGAAAATCTCTATCCTGGGTACAATTACAGTACATCACTGACTCCTAAGACTACTAAAGGACCATTAAAGTCGTCACCTACGTATTCATTTACTCCCCTAATGACAGGTAACTACATTATTATTTTTCATTAACCTATCAACTATCAATTTAATTTATGTTCTAAAATAGTAAATGACATGAGTATTAAGGATATTGTTGCTGTAACCACTTATAATAAAACAATCAAAATATCCTGGAAATTAGGAAATGCCTACCGTTACGATGCTACAGTCAACGAACCAATAAAGTGTGTTCTCAGATACAAAGTAATTAGTTTAGTTTTACCAATAATTAGTATAATCAATCTGAAATCAATATTGCATAACGCATATAATATGTTTGTGTCTTTTATAGAATATAATTAATTTCAAATTTATTTCAGCTACAACGAATTCTTAGTTGTTCTATGGATGAAATAAAAAATGACTGGACATCAACTACAATCTACAATCGAACAAATTACGAAATATTTGACTTGATTCCTAATTCACAGTACTGTATACAAGTTACAGTTGCCAATAACTTGAATACTGTGCAACGAGAAAACCATGTGTGCAAATTAACACCAGCATCATGTATAAAGTTGAATAAAACCTAAAGTGTATTCGTATTTGGTGAATGATTTCTGTGTGTTTTCTGATTAGATCCAATAACTAAACCTGTTTTTGACCTTCAAAACCCAATGAATGTGACTAATAGCTCAGTGTTTGTCCAATGGAAAGTCGATCCCGTAAATTGTTCAAAGTTAAATGGATTTTTATCAACGTATTACATTGAACTAAAGGTAAATATTGTATAAACGAATGTATAATGTATTTATTTGTAAAATCAAAACTTATTGATTTTATAGGATAAGGGAAATAACACTTTACAAGTAAAAGAAACGAAAAAAAACTACATTTACATTAATGATCTGAAATCAAATAATTATTATGAACTGAAAGTGTTTATAAAAACACACATCGGTTATAACCCTGAACAATATCTATTTACAAATTTCACTACTAAATCAAAATGTGAGTTCATTATTATTATGATCATATTTATTCACATACTTATATACATTTGTTTTTAAACATTATATATAGATTTAGTACCAGTCTATGATATAGTAGCTTATAAAAAGAGTCTAAGACATCGATCAGTAGGACTTCGTTGGTATTATTTAGAAGATGCAAATTTAAATGGATTTATAGTTTCAATTAATAAAAATGGTGGAAACCCAAACAATGTTATAGTGATTGCCCCGACGAAATGTTCCGCTTGGCCGGAATATTATTGCCATAGTTTTAATAATTTGAGCCCTGGAAACAGCTTCACATTTAATGTATGTATTAGACAAATTACATTATAAAATATTAAGATATTAATTGGTCATAAAATATAAATTTGTATCAGATAAAGCCTAAGTTGATTAATAATCCTGAAGGAGGTAAAGTTTCGTCTATTTCATTTAAAATGATTGATGAACGTAAGTAAAATATGAAAATAGATTTAATTAATTCTTATTATAGAAGAAATGAATATATTAATATGTGTTTAATTTTATATTTTAGAACCAGATTCTCCGAATAATTTTAAAGTTATTGATATTGGAAAGACTTTTATGACTCTCAAGTGGGATATTCCATGGATATTTAATGGTGCATTAGATATGTACATTATTAATGTAGAAGAAATGTCAGATATGAACTTGTATTCAAGTATGAGGGCAATAGAATTAGCAATCTATGAAGAAGTTCCTTCTTACAACTATACGGTGATTAATTTAAATGATACATTCTCGCACTAATATTGCAGGCATATATTATGATATATATAGGTACTATAGGTCATATAGCTAAGCTGTCTCTGTATATCTAAAAGTCAACGATAACATTTTGAGTAACGACGATGTTACAATATATAGTCACATAATATGTAGAGAAGATACCTTCTACAAGAAAACATTAAACGGTGTAACCAATCTATTGGACAATATCTTAAAAAATATGACATTATCTCTAAAATATTCTACTCTTCAAAATTAGTATCCATCTGGAAATCATGGAGTGTCCAAACTCTAATATTTACCTAGACAATTCAATTTTAGTTTCGAGTACCTTAAGTAGAATTTTGCTATTTTGGTAGTTGAATGGACGGAGACACTGAGACAGTATATCCATACGTGTATACGTCCTTTTAACTGAGCAATGCTCGGATTCATTCCCCTATATTCTGTAATATGGTGATTTTTTTATTCATATCAAATGTTTTATAATATAACGATTGGCAATATGACACACAATATTATACTACCTCCAACAGGAATGGTGGAAGGAAAGCGAGTTTGTCAGAGATAACCAAATATTGTTTACCTTTCATTATTTAAAATTTCTGTTATTTAAATTAAATTAATACAATCTGATATTTTACAGCTAAAAAATCTAAATCCTGGATCGACCTATTCAATTGGAATAGTGGCTGTGTCCAAGGCACTATGGTATAGTTTACCATCGACAATTCACGCAACGACACTTTTTTATTAGAGTAATTTACTTTTTGTTTTTAAAATATTAACCAACAATTTATTTTTTTTAAATAACACGTTTCCAAATTAAAATTTTTTGTATTAATCATTGATTTATTGTGTATTTAATCAATGTTTTTACTGTATTTGTTTTTGTAATTTATCGTACATAATATGCAACTATGCAAGCATGAATATTCATTTAGAAAATACCTTTTCTATACCTATACATATTATAACTTATTAGTTATTATAACATTATATTATATACATTTATACTAATTTATATTGTAGTGCATAATATTGAACTATAACATTAATTTTATCAGAATATATTTGTTTTGACTACTAAATATATTAATTATGGGTTTCAGATTGCATTAGTATATTTATTAGTATTTTGTGATTTAAATTTTAGTTTAAACTTTAGTCTTTAATCAGATAGGTACCTAACATCTAATTCATCAATGGAGAAGACTTTTTCAGTATAATATTCAGTATTTATTTGATATTTTAAATCAATAACATACCAAATATCTAATTCTGCAGACATTTCGCATTAGTATGAATGCTTCAAGCTGGTCTTGATTTAAAGAAGATCGTAGACGATTTTTTACTGTATCCAATTTTCTGAATTTTCAGTTAACTTGTTAAGGGCAACTTTGGATCATCGGCAACAGCCTGCCAATTTATAATTAGATTATAATTTATAATATTTATAGAAAACTTGACAAAATTTCCAAATTTCCAAATGAATTCATCCTTCTTTATATAATATTAAGTCTTTGTAAAGATTAAATTATTATAGAAAATTAATTTAAGGCTTGAGATTCTTAAAAGAAGCCACTCCATTGTCTTAAAAGATCCTAATAAACTCCAACTAAATTATTACCTTCATATAAAAGTTCATATATTTTACTAAATGGACTCGAGGAGACTCAAATAAAAATCCTTTGTCTAGCTAGTAGAAAGTGGAGTTCTGAACTTAACAGATGTACTTTAGGTAAGTGTAAAAGTTTCTATAATACTGTATGTCTGTATGGGCCTTGTGTTGTTATCATAAATTATATAATTAAAACCTATAGCATTATTATTTATTATACTTTTTCCAAAAATTATTTTATAATATTGTGAACTGTTTATTTATCTATTAAATTAGGGTTCTCCCCCCTCCCCTTAGAACTTAGAAGACATAATTTTAAAGTGTTTATGAGTGTGATTGAAAAAAACAACAATACACGGCGGTGGGAGACTACGGCAGTCGGTGACTATCGGTGAATAATAATAATAATAATAATAACAAGATAATTTGTGCATCATAATATATGGTGCATTTCCCGGGCACCCCTACCTCCGAATTTTGGATTCAAACCAAGGGTTTTCGTTTGTGCTAGCCTATAGTCTAATCCATGGCTTAAATATACAATGTTATTTCAATAGTACCCCCACTATATAATTTTATCACGTTAAGGAATTAAAATGGCAGCGTAAGGGGACGACTTATACTAAGGCTAAGACTTATGGACCATACCCTTACGCTGCCATATTTTATTTTTGTTTGATAGCAATATGGACTAGCTTTGTGCAATAACCATGTATATTTAAACCATGGCCTAACCTAACCAGCTGGTTTGTGCTCGAATTTCAACGTTTGTGCTAAAAACACAACCCCAACGACAAATTTTGGAATTCCAAATGAGTTATTCAATTATATTTGTATAAAACTTTAGGTAGGTATATTATTTATGTAAATATTGTTTATTGTAAAATATACATTATATTAATGCCGTTACTCGTTACTGCTTAGTGCTTACTAAATATTAACACTTGAGTTGTACATGTGTATACGGTTTACCCTGTACCATTAGATAAATACGTATTATATCTATACAAGTATTGAAGTATACACTGCCTGCCACTGATATGCGCCTATGGTATAAATCAATATTGAATATATTATAATATATTTATTAGCTTATTACTACACAGCTTTAAAATATACTAAAATATCGATCCATATATCGAGATATGAGAAGTGTTCGGTAATAAATACAAATCGAACCTATAAAAGAAAATAATAGTCAATAGACTATTGCTATACGCCTATACGGTTCTATGATGGTAAATAATAACACAGAATAAGGATTGCTATATTTTTTTAAACTGAAGAGTATACCTATTACCTATATAGGTACGAGCGTAGGGGATTGCCCCCAACCTTCCATAGCTTACAAATATCTAAGGTTATGTTTAACAACATTTTAAACCGAGGTAACATTTTAAAATACACTTGGTTGACCCCCCTCCCCCCGGGTGAAATTTCTAGCTACGCCCTGGGGTGACGGTGTAATAATAATTGTACCATTGATTTTAGAATAATTATTATGTTCATATAAATATTAATATATTTCATGAACCATCCTGTCTACTAATCAGTGGCGTATATTTACTGGGTGGGAATTGGGGTCATATCCCCCCTAGGAGACCACATTTTGTACACAATACCTCAATACAACATGTACTTAAAACTTAATAATATGAATATAATATTTATATACAAAATATTATGTCTATTAAAATGTTTACACTCCTCCCCCCCCCCTGGGAAAAAATCTTAGATGCGCTACTCGCCTACGCCCTACTTAGTAATGTATAAGTACCTACATTACAAACCTTATACGTGTCAGCGGGTATTTGGTAGTTGCCAAAGCCCACAGGCCCACAGATACACAATATCACTATAATTATAATATTTATATAATTTATTATAATTTATAACATAATATTAAATATATAATAATATGATTACCTAACGTCCTAACTGTTGGCAGCGGTTGCAAAATGCAAATTCTGTGATCAGTGATTCCGTAAATCACATAAAAGTTTGATAACGATTAACGACAACGGAAACAGTTTCTGTCTTATCAGTCATCGAATTTGAATCTTAGCCCACCGCCAAAGTGTCAAAGCCCAGGAAAATCACCGCTGGCAGGTTGGAACTTAATACATTTTATAATTATAAATTAAACTATATTGTCATTTCTCTCGCCGTCTAGTGCTCACTGCACTACTGTGACTCCCAGCATGCAGTTTTAATAGCAACAGTATAAAATAAAAATTGTTTAGGTTTTTCGATAGATGAAATTTTTATACTGTCCTCCGACATAAAATTTTAATTCAAAGTTCAGTGTTCATTTCTTAGTGTGTAAGTTCATCGAAATATCTAATAAGTTTTCATTTTTATATCCATCCACGGATTCATAATGCGTTCGTTGAACACGTTTTTACGACCATCGGCAGGTAAAGAGTTTTTTTTTATACAATTTTATTTAAATTTTTGATTTTTGATTAGTTTTATTTTATACATTCAGGCGTCCGAAAAATATCCAGTTTGGTATTGCCTGAGAGTCATTCAAAACTAAAGAATGTGTGTCGAGAATTTTCAGAAGCTGAATTACGGCCGGTTGCTGCAACACTAGACAAGCAGCAGATGTTCCCTACTGATCAAGTAAATAAATACAGGTGGTTTTATGGAGATATATACCATTTTAAAATAATTAAACTGTGGAATACTCATCATAACATTAAATAGGTACAGTGGCGCAGACCTGATTTCTGAAAGGGGGGGGAAAGAAAACTACATAGCTAAATGGGAGGGGAAAATTGGAAAATCCACCACCCTCTCAAAACTTTTTACTTAGGTAGTAAAATATTTAACAATCAGGAATTAAGGAACAATGAATATAATTTGAATTGATTCAAAATTCACATCAAACACAATTTGTAAGATTATCCACTGTAAAGCCAATGGGAGGGGATCTGACCCCCACATCCCTCCTTGTTTACGCCACTGTATAGGTCCTCCTATTGGTATACATATTAGTTGGAAAATGTTTACTAATATTTTTTTAATATTAGATTTTATTGTAAAATAATATAATATGTATTACAATTATAATTTGAGATAGTTATTACTTATTAAGAATGCAAATCAAAAAGTTAGAATTTTTGACCAAACGCTATATTATTTTAATTAAAAATTAGCGATTTCCATACAAGATAACAATAATATGTATACAAAATCAATGAATATTTATGTGCTAGAAAGACAATAAGCTAGTAATGAGTATTAGGTAGTTATGTACTCTCGATATAATATGTCATGCTTATAGCTTATTATAAGTATAAAAACTCACTCTCGGGATGTAGAACTTTAAGTTTATATTCATGTTAATATCTTTGTTACAGATTAAAAAATTAGCTGATTTAGGAATCCTAGGAGTTGTGGTTGACAAGAAATATGGTGGTTCAGGAGCTGACTCTCTTGCATTATCAGTAGCTGTTGAGGAAATATCCAGGTAATATACTGTTGCATTAAGTTTCAATGTATGCTAACATAAATATAATAATTTTATATGTTCTTAAATTAGATGCTGTGGCGGAACCGGTTCAATTGTAAGCATTCATAATGCTCTATATGCAGGCATAATAAACAAAGTCGGCACTCCTGAACAAAAATTACAATTTCTACCAGATTTCATTAGTAGAGGTATTGTTGGATGTTTTGCTCTCAGTGAACCAGGTAATAATTTTAAAACATATCAATCACAATTTTAAATAATATCATAATTTGTATTAATGTAAGGTTAGGAAGTGGCAGTGATGCTGCTAATATGCACACAATAGCAAAACGTGAAGGAGATCATTGGATATTAAATGGTACAAAGGCTTGGGTGACTAATGGTATTGAAGGCGGTGCGATTATTGTGATGGCTCGTTCGGATATTTTTAAAGGCCATAACGGAGTATCAGCATTTATTGTACCAACAAATACACCAGGTATTTTTTGAATTATATAATGAATATTCTATATATAATTCAAATTGAGATCAATAGTTAACTATTATAATAATTAAATTTTAAGTTTAAAACTTAGATTACTTGTATACTTTTGTCAAGGTACTAAATACTTTTACAGGCTACAGTTATCAGTTTTAACCTGACAAAATATTATAAAAATATATTATTCCTTTTGTTCTAATGGCATATAAGTAAACGATTCCTTAAAAATGAAAACTTGTTTAATATATATTTCAGAAACTCATGTTTTAATAATGTAGCTCAGAAAGACGTGTTAATCATGTGAAGAATTCAGTATCTATGAAGAATGTTGTAGTGTGATTCCTAATAATTGATGTTTTAATTTTCATACTTCACATAAGAAAACAAAATAAATAAAAGCAATGCCTGTATATTAAGTGAAGGCTTATTTATTTAGTTTAATTGATAGCATTACCACTATGAAATCCAATTTATACTATACTGTTATTGTTTGATTCAATAGTTACACAACTATTTCCTATAGTCTATTATATCTATAATATTCATGAATAATGGTTTTATATGTTTAACCTAGGTTTTAATGTATGATTATTGTTTTATGTTCTGTTTTAGGTTTAACAAAGGGTAAAAGAGATGATAAATTAGGTATTAGAGCAGCATCTTCTTGTAATATTATTCTGGACAATGTTATTGTACCAGTTGAAAATATGTTGGGGAATGAAGGTGATGGTTTCAAAATAGCCATGTCTGGAATTGGTTAGTAAATTCTATTACTAGATACATTATTTCCTTATTTGTAGCATATAAATGTAATTTCTATAAAATTATGTCTTATAGATTTGGCTAGAATAGGTATTGCATCACAAGCATTAGGAATATCACAAGCTGCAATGGACTGTGCTATTGATTATGCTGGAAATAGAACCGCTTTTGGTAATGCTATTATTAAACTGTCTGCTGTGCAGGTATGAATTATGTTCACACATATACTATAGTCCATGTATTTGTAGTAATTAGGGTTCAGATTTATATGTAAATACACATTTTCACTGTGTCTTGGTACATACATTTAGGCAAGCGATAAATTTGTTGCATGTGATTTTCAATAATTAATCAAGTTATTTAATTGTACTTATTTCTACTTATTTCTACATATTTTATCATAAATAAATGTTTTTATATATTCTACAATAATTCCTTTTTTTCTCACATATTTAGACATTTTATCTGCTTAAATACCACATACCTTATGTCTTATCTTATTAATTAATTTTTATTTCTGATATCTGAATAGTTGTCATACATGACTGACGAGCCCATTGCCCATAGTGCAGTGTTTATTTATTATGTATGTGTTGTGTAGATGTATAGAACAGTATTTATTTTATTTTTATCTAATTATTACTCTTATCAAGCAGAAGATCATCTAAGACTAGAAAAACTGCAAAATATATTTCTGAATATTTACAAAGTGACGGTCAAATTTTATATTGTTCTGTTTGTAAAAAATCCGATACAATTTTGCATCATTCACATACTAATATGGACAAAAAAAACAAACAGAAAACAAAAATCAAATGAAGTTCCTCAGTTTCTAATACATTCAACAATGATTTATGCCAAGGTTTTATTGGCGTTGATATTCTGCTAGCAAATTGTTAAAGTTTAAAATCATTTTTAGAAAAATTTAGTAGCCAATTGATTCTTGATGAAAGCATGCTAAGGAAAAGTTATATTACCAATTTACAAAGAAAGTCTTCTATCTAATAGAAACACAATTAGGGATGGTCGATGGACCCATATGGGTATCGACAAAACTTCTAATGTAGATAGAAGATTTATTTGAAAATATTAGTATACTACATAATGAGTTTTTTAGCACATATTTTGGTTATATAAATGCATATTTTTGTAGTATAAAATATAAATATATTATTAATAATAGTAGTTAATTAACGCTTTAATAATAGTGAATTTATTGATGTTTATTCTAGCAAAGAATTGCTAAAATGGCTACACGGTTGGAGGCTTCTAGACTTTTGACATGGAAAGCCGCATGGTTGAGAGATAATAATCAACCTTTTACCAAGGTAAATTTATACCAAATAATTATATTATATGGTAGATATATTAATATAATTGTTTATTGGTTTTTTTTTTAGGCAGCATCTATGGCCAAGTTAGAAGCATCACAAACAGCAACATATGTTACACATAATTGTATACAGATTCTCGGCGGGATGGGATATATTTCAGATATGCCAGCCGAACGACATTACAGAGATGCGAGGATAACTGAAATATATGCAGGTCCGACAGATATTCAATATTTAGTTATTGCTGAGAAATTAGCAAAAGAATATGGGTATAAAACTAGATAAAACTTCAATATTAAATTCCATTAATGACTTGGTTGTGGATAATTATTAATTTGTTTATATTTATTATTATTTATGTTGTATCATTGATATGTAAACAATGGTTATATTATTGTGTTAATAACTATAGTCCATAATGTATTTTTCTGTCAATTGTATACATATTTTGTAAATTCTAACTAATAAATAGTACATTTTACTATTTTAACAAATAAAAATAAGTAATCAAAAATCATTATAAATGAGTGTACCTGTGTACAAATAAATACACACATCAGCAGTGGCGTAGCCATAATTATTAAAAGGTGGGGGAGGGGGGGCTACAACCCCCCAGCACATCAGATATTTAATAATATTTTCATTTTTCGTTTCTGGTATTTTCTACGGTAAACACATACCCAATATAAGCGTGTCGCATGAGTATATAGGAAGATAGGATTTAAAAATAAGAAATTACTATCTTACATAAAGTACGATTAAAAATAAATACCCAAACTTACAGATTTATTATACTATTATTTTATATTAATTTTTTTACAAACTTAAAATTACTCTTGTTTGTAAGAAGCCATAAACTTTTTTCTTCGTTCTACAGTTTCGATTTTGGCTTGTTTCTTAGCTTGAGCTTTAGCTATCAAATCCTTTATAACAAATTCAGGTAATCGTTTTCCTCTCCATCTATTTGGCAATATTGTCATATTAACAATATTCAATTTTTCTTGTACATAATTAGCAGGACTAAATTTTTCAGCTTCTTTTACCTGTAGAAATTTGATATATTATTAATAATAGTTATTACTAGACATTATGAGTAGAGTACGTATAATATTGTTATCTCCTTATTATAAACCCCCTAAAATATGTATTTATTTTCTATTACAAAATAAATAACACAATTTGTTTAACTATTAAGGATTCAAATATTATTATTATATCGATTGGGGTTTTTAGTTTCATGCTTCCGTTGAAGATAGAACATAAAAGTATAAAACTAAAGATTAGACGAAGGAAAAAATATTTATTGACAGAGTAACTCATTTATATTTCTTACTATTAATATTTTAATTTTACTATCTAATGAGTCATAACATTTTGTACAGTATACAATTAAAATAAATATTTTTTAAATGCTTAGTATTTTTAAATGGACACTATTTTGTATTTTGTGAAATTTCGGATAGTTCCTAATGTATTTTAGAAAAAGGAATTCTTTGAACTTATGAGATGTGCCTCAGCAAAATAATTTAGTATTATGAAGGAAATAATATTCTATTTTTATAACATGAAAATATGAAGATAAACATTATAATATAAAGTAACAAAAGTTGTTCAGTCTTTTGAATTTTTTTAGTATCACAATGTGAAACCAATTCATTTTACTTTTATTTGTTCCAATGTAAGTACCTATGTAGAATATAAAATATACATATTGCTCATTTAAAACAATATTAACTAGATATTAACCAATTAAATAAATTGTTATTTATAATTACATTATAATTATTCATAGATTACCTGTCCCATAAGTTCAGCTTGAAACGCCTTTTCTTTTCTCATTTCTCTCTTTTGTCGTACTTTGGCCCATACATACTTCATGCGCTTTCTTAACTTTCTCAATTTGTGTTTTTTCATTTTCTTACGACGAATTACTATTAGTCGAGCTGCTTGAATTTCATTATCATTATCAACCAATGGATCAGCCAATGGAAGGGATATTGTTGGTCGAGGGATTCTTAGAGGAATACAAGGATTTGGCTTGTCTCTAATTTTTTTTGTTATAGTGGTTGGCAGTTTAATAGAAATGGGTAATGTAGGTGAACCCAAAGGCAGCTGATTTAAAGAACAGATAGATCGTATTGTTGGATGTACATGATGTCTTTCAGCAGCAATAGTAACTAAAAATAAATTGAATAATAAATAAATAAATAATAATATAATGAATAAGTTATCAGTTTTAGCAACAGCTTTACCAGTACATTTACCTGTCTGCATCCACAGAATTTAAACAGCCTATACATTAGGTATCATAATTATAAATATGTTAAATCTAAAATATCGTAGGATGTGTAAACATATGAAAACTTTTTCATTTTGGTTCTGATTATTTCTAAGAAATATAATACAACTCTTTGAATGTATGAATAAACCTGTTGCTAATAACTATACTGCTTATAGTAATAGAGCACACAAGATTTTAAATAAAAACTAAAAACAGTTAAGGAATTTAAAACAAAATTAAAGTGTCACATTGTCAAGGCAAAAATAAAATAGGACACAACAATTTTTAAAAAAAATGTATGGAAGCTATTGAAATGGACCTTGTACACATGTCACGGATTAATATAAATTATTTAGAATGAGCACATTGCGTGAAAGAAATATACGTGTAAACAAAATATTAAATACAAAAGGACTTTTATAGAAATTAATCAAAATTGATAAACTAATTTGTTCAAAACATTCACGATATAAAAACATAAATATTACTTAAGTAAACTACCTATAGTAATAAATCTTTGAGTGCAAATATTTTTTATTCTTACTGTTCGCAAAGCTCCGGGCGATGAGCCTCAAATTTCCCAACATCGTAGCGGTATTATTCAAGTCCAAACATGGATGATATTCTCCATTCAGTAAACGCAGTGGCTGTTCACGCGCCCAACGTGAAACCACAGAATAGCTCAAATTTAGGTATTCTGTGATTAAACGATTTTAGACTGTCTAAAAAGGAATTTTTTTTTATTATCTTTAAAAAATACACAATCACACTTTCTCACACCGCCGTGGTCTACCGCAGCCGGGAGGTTCTTATCAAAAATTGGAGAGAAGGTCGTGTTACTAGCGTCATCTAGGTTTGTTCCCTGTTCAATCACAGAATAGATAAAATTTGAGAGCATAGATAATAAAGGCTTTATATAAAGGCTCTCTAGATACAATCGTCAACTACTACAGATATATATAATTATTATAATTATTATATATTATATCCAACCACCGACGCTAAAATAATAGTAATCTTAATAAACCTAGTTCATGATGTTGTCTTTATTAAATGTCAATAGTACTATAGTCTAACACGGCCATATAGATCTATCTATGCGGTCTATAACTACTAATAAGTAAGATGGCATGAATGTTATTGTCGGTTCCAACAGTTCCATAATCAATTTTATAGAAGGGTGACTTATTTTTAAATTTAAATTTAAAAAAAATATGTGAAATCACTTGTATGCAATTTTAAAGCTTTTTGAAAGTGTGAACTTTTTTTTATAACATTTTTTGTTTTTCCCAATTTTTAAGAAAAGTATTGGGAATTTTTAATTTTCACCTTTCAAAATTACCAACTAGGTACAATTTTCTATCAGAAATCCCCCTCAAAATTGCAGATCAAAGTTTTTTTTTTTTTTACTGTATAAGACTTAGAAGTTGTTAATACACTGTACACTGTACACAAAAACGCACATCATTCTAAAATCAATAGGTACATTATCATTATCGCTCCGCTCAGATTCTAAAAGACTTTAGGTACCTAAAAGTACAAAATGAGTGCAGTATACCTACTGTAGTACTGTATAATACAATACGAATCCTCATTAAACTATAATGGGTATAATATTATATTAATTATTATTCCAACCATAGACCTATACAGTGGCGGATATATCCAAGTTCTGAGGGGGGGGGGGGGTGAAATTTCAAATCCACATAGATAATGATGTTTAACCCCCCTCCCCATTGTTTTATTTTGAAATATTTAACTATAATCGGTACAAAAATATAAATAACAACACTTTTTTTCAATATAAATATTTATTTAAAATTTGAAAAATAAAATATTTAATCGTGCTATCAAACAGAGTGATAGCACTACCCCTCTATGGGGCGGGTACAGGGTAGTTGTTCGAAAAATGATAAGAATGTCGAGTACGATAATTCTGAAATGTTGGCATTACCAACATAATATTTTTTTTTTTTAAATAGGAAATAATTTGACATTTTAAATATGTGCTGCACTGAATAATTCGTTGAATATTAAAACATGTTATTATATATATATAAAAATAAAATATCTTTTATCATTAAAAAAATGTTAAATAAGATTAACCCTTCCATAACAATATTTAAAATTAATAATTTGTCAGTCTTGTAAAGTACCTAAGTAAAATTGATTTTAAATGGATATACATATAGACAGTCTTATTTAATGTACCATAAGTTAACCCTTGTAATTATATAGTTTCTTCTTTCTACACTAGAACACAAGTGGAAAATGCTCCTGAGTTCAGTTAGGGAAGTTCAATTAAGGGAAAATTAATATGGTATGTCGTATATGTATATATCTTATAATAAAAAAAACAATATAATTTAGTTAATCATATTAATTTGTTTTTATTCTATTAATGATTACATTATGTTTAAAATGTTTAAATACCAGTTTTCTAAATTCTAAATTTTAAATCTATTGCGGTACTTACGCAGCATTTCGAATAATAGAGATATTTTATTCGGTAACGTTGGTGTACCTGTAGAAGGTTAGCGATAAAAATGTCTTATCATTTTTCGAACAACTATCGGGATCCGCCGGCTATGGGGCATCCCGCATCAGGCACTTGTCCCAAAATTTCATGGAGAAAAAAAAATATTGTACAACTGAAAAATCAATTAGCAGATAACACCAAGTACCAATATAATTAATATTTAAATATTTATAATCAATGGTTGTAGCCAATATTGTAATAATGTATAGTGGTGGCAAAAAGCCTAAGGGGGGGGCGGTCCACCAATTACCCACCCCCGATATCCGCCACTGGACCTATAAGAGTATAAAATAAGGTCTAAGGTCTTTTTTTATAGGTCTAAAATATAAGATTCCAACGTAGGTGTCAGGTGTGTGTCAATACAACAAAGGTCTTTGGTTATAGTCTGTGCTTTAGGTACCTATATCGTATATATGTATACGACGTAACTGTATACAATTTAATGGCCCATCCACCACACTACCACAGTGAATAATCTCTTATACCGGTGGGCGGTGATGATATATAGTACTAATACAATAAATAAACGTACCTATTTACCATTTACGTATGTACCTAACGTTCTAACCTATTGTAACAAAAGAAAAAAATAGTTATATTATATATTATAGTGAAAACTGAAAAGTGTATTAGGTGTGTTTATAGAGCGTATTTTTCAACCACTATAGGTAGATGATCTGCTGCGAAGGGTTTAGGGTAGCCTCAATTCTCAAACATGAATTTAATTTTGGCTCACGCAAATCGAATATTTTGTTGTTAATTTAGGTAATCGGTAAAAAATGACACGGCAAAAAAAGACAGCTGTACCCTAGGGGTAAAAACGTCAAATGTATTTTACTTGAAAATCAAATATTCATTAGACCTCTAAAACGTGGGGTTCTATAATTTATTGTAAATGCCTCACAGAGCCGTGGCTATTCGTTATTGGTTATAACGAGTTAATAATTAATATTATGACTTAAATCATAGTTATATGAGTTTATGACCAACATTTTTTAAATAAATATTTTATAGTTTACAAATATAAAATTAATGGTATTTCACTATAAGAATAAGATCTAAAAATTCAAGTGGTTCTAAATACTTTTTTCACCCCCCTCCCCCCTCTAGGTCCACCAACGAGGCAATTCCTCTATATGGGTATTAACTATTAGTAACAAAAATCCGATTGAAGGTGGCTAATGACGAATTAAAATTAGCGCAACATTCACATGATATATTACGAAAAAAATAAAACAAAAATAAAATATGCAGAACTAATGAATAAACTGAAAACATTATGTGAAGAATATTTAAGTATTTTTTTGTTAATCATTTACTATACTTTTGATTTTTAAGTAAAATATTATACTTTTAAGCCATAGTCAGAGTCGGACTGGCCCGGACCGCTAGTTCGCAATTGCGGGCGGGGCCCCGGCTTATTTATGGTAATTTGGGGCCCTGATTTTGTATCTATTACTATTATTATTATTCGTTTAAACTTTAAAGTAGATAGAAATACAAAAAATTTTTTTTTTCCAAATCAGGAAACTTATTTATTTAACGAATCTTGAGAAGTTCTTAATAGTTATTAAAATAATGACATTCTACGAATTTAATAGCTGTCTATATACAAATATGTATACGAAATTTTCACCACATATATAGGAGAACTTTGACTGTGCAATATCGTTTTTATTTTTTTGGTATCACTTATACGAAAAATGTTCTTATTGTTTCAAAATCCATTATTATTTGTGTTTTTCAAACTTTAATAACTTTTTTTGAAGTTCCGATAACGAAAAAATAAAAACGATGTTGCACAGCCAAAGTTCTCTTTTTTTTATGTACCTAGTGAAAATTTCGTTTCTTAGTTATGACTGTAGCGAGCTCAGTTCCTTCACTCGCAAAACCGTTTTTGCTGTGTTGTACATTTATAAGACGGAGAGACACATTCGGTTGCAACGTCCTCTTAAATAATATTACATTATATTTATACTGATTACTGGCGTATGCGTATGACTTGGTATTCGCATTATCACTGATTGTAACTGAATTATTATTATATTATAGTTTGATATTAAGTATAATTGTACTCGTACACAATTTGACACAATTTGAATCGGTGTTTTTCTTTATAATGTTTGATGTCACAGCCAGTGTATGGGGGCTACGACCCTGTGGGGGTTGGACGCCTGGATAGGAGGGGATTCCCCTGTCTTATAATAAAAACAGTCCGATGGGTCTCTATTGTCGTAAATTTACTTGGGATCTATCTTAGTATTTGAGTCAATATAAATTCTATATTGAAAATTAAGTAAAACCAGTTAATACATCGAATGATTGAATTTTAGTTAGGTACCTACGTATTTAGTTATTTGTGCCTATATGACTGTATGATAAATATGCAAAATTGCAATTGTAATAAGAAAAAAAATTCTATGTAAGCACATGCAAATAGGATTGCGAGCTGAAAAAGCGAGCCTTTTTTCCGGGCTAAATAAAACATTTTCCATTTGCCTGTTAGGGGCCCTTTTTCCCAAATTGCGGACTGGGCCTTTTCGAGCCAGTCCGACACTGAGCCATACTGATAGTTTATAAGGAACAAGGATGGAATATTTCATAATATGGTGCCCCCGGGAACCTAATGATATGCAACTCAATATACAAGCAAAGACTTCTATTATACCACAGAACAATCTACTATCTTAATATCGTGGTGTATAAACAAAGTATCTTATCACTAGTTGTTCGAAAAACGGTTTCCTGGCTTTACGAATTTTTCACATCCAATTTCAAACGGTAATACAATAATACATTATACACACTACACGTCTACACAGGTCTTAAAATATTGAGCAGTCTGCTGTACCTATTTACTATTGTGATTTGCGAGCTGAGTGGTGGGTATTTAGACTTTAGACTTAGCTTATACTTAATTGTTATGATTGATAAATTACTTCTTATATAGTTAGGCACAATTTCTAATAATTGTTTAATTAACTTCCCTTGTCTGTGAACTTCTAGAGTATAATAATACTATACTAAATAACTAAAGATTACATTAATATTAAATATGCCCTAGTTCTTTTAAACCTATTTTCGTAAGTACATGTAGATTAATAACTCACTACTCGTTCAAATTTGGATTTATATAAGTACATCGAAATTAAAAAAAAAAAAGCTTAGCTAACAATTTACAGAAAAAAAGTTGGATATCATCAATAAAAAAAAGTTTGTATTGCTAGTTTCCTTAGAACACTCATTCAATTGCATAAACATCAAAATATTTGAATGCATGGTCTCTTCATATAATTAGGAATTCTAAAAATCAGAATTTGAATAAATGCATAATATTGAAGTAAAGAATAGTGTTGAGAATGCATGATCAATGTTTTTGTATAATATGTCTAAGTTTTTCACGGTTTTTCATGAAATAGTTTCAAAATCTTGCTTCAAATTATCATTATGTTTAATTTGATTTTAATTCTGTTATAGACAAAATAAGACAAATGGAGTCAAACGGCGACATATCCACATATCCAGAATTTTGCACTAAATGTGGTTCAATATTACCTTCATTGAGTATGGAAGAATTTATTAAGTGTTATTCGTGTAAAACTGTTTTTGGGCCAGAAAGTAAGTTAACAACGGTTATTTTTTTATTTTTAATTATCATAAATTAATAATATTTGTGCTTTATATAAGATTATAAATAAAAATGTCAACATTAATTCACAAAAAAAAAGAAATGCTATATTATTTATCACACTTTTTCTAGAATAATTTATTTATATTATATTGTTTAAGCCCTCAAATTGTATGCCGCTTTCTTACATACCACAACAAGTAAAATTTTGATGATAGTAGCTTGTCATGAATTTATAACATTTTATATATAATATTATATTCCTCCTGGAATTATTCAATATATATTATAAAATATTTTTTACTTTCTTGATTTTTAACCAAGTAAGTAGGTATGGTAATTAAAATAAAAATATTCTGAATTTTAAAAACTTCAAAAATTTGTGTTAAATAGGAAAATAATAAAAATGTAACTCAGTAATGATGAGAAGGTGGGTAATTTAGCTAGCTTTGATATAAAATATTAATGAGAGAGATTTGATATCACAACCAAGCGGTATAACCACTTCAATCCATAAAAAATTAAAATGATTTTTTGTGGGGCTGTTCACACCGACATTTTTCTGGATTCAAATTGTTATACTGCTTGGGTGTGATGTCAGTTAATAAATTTCTAAAAATTAAAAATAAAGAAAGCTTACATTCCAATCCCTGACTTGGCAAGCGTTTTTTTCTAATTGTACTAATTAGCAATAATTACAATATTTTTCTCACAACTATTTATATGATGCTTTTATCTAAACTGACTGTCATTAGTCATGACTAGGGCTCAGATGTTGTAGGAGTTGCATATTATTCTATATACTTTTGATTTCTATCAGACTATGCTAAAAATCCAAAGCTTTACAAAGTTGAGTTTAAAAATTGAAAACTAAAAATGTGCATTTTGCATATTTCATCAATTTCAGTAAAAAGCTTATATTGTTTGATTTTCATATGAATATTAATTTTTTTGTGCATATTTTTCCTTTATTAGCTGTTATAACTTATAACTAAAGTCTGCAGTCTGTAGTCATGACATATTTAACTACAACTTTAAAAATGGTATTAATAAATACCACTACTAATATAAACTTAACTCCGAATATATACAAATAATTGAATAATAACTAAACTTTTTAAATCATTGATTAACTCTAAAGTTGTGCAAATGGGAAACCAAAGCTTAAAGGTATTTTTTTACTTTTCTCGGCTTAGCTGTCATCTTGTATAAAATTGGTATTGTGTAGAAAGGGCCAAACCACGATTAAACTAATTAAACAAATTATTAATGATTATCAAGCATTAATTTATTGTTATTCTTTGTTACAGTTTATGGAAATGCTGTAGCTGAATACAACATTGTTTTGAACTCTATAGAAGACATCGATAATGTTGTAAAAACTGAATATAACAAAAATGATGCAGATGATGGTCCAATTGCCGAGAGAAGATGTGGCTTATGTGGTCACAACCAAATGTCTTATGCTGCTGTGCAATTAAGATCAGCTGATGAAGGACAAACCGTGTTTTACACTTGTCTCAAATGCAAGTAAGTGCTACCATCACCTGTCTTAAAAATATTTATTATGTACATTTATGTTTTGTAATTTAATACAGTTTATTTTTCTTGTTTGCAGGTTCACTGAATCAGAAAACTCTTAAAAAAATTTCAAAAGCCGGGAATCCATTTTTGTACATAACAATCAAGTTGAATAAAGTTATTCTTATTTTTAAACATAATTGTTTTATCTAATATATCCTAAAAACTAAAATTAAATATAATGATATAAAAGCTACTTAAACATTTTTGATTAAAATAATGAGTACTCAGTACACATCCTTATGGTTATATTTATTATTTAAACTGGATTCAGAATATTAATCCATATTCAAAATATTGAAGGCATAAAAATATTTTACATTTTACTAAGAAATAGAAGCAAATGGTATACTATTATACAGGGGCGGATTGGGCCACCGGGAATTCGGGAGTTTTCCCGGTGGGCCGCTTTTTCAAATAACTATGTATTCTTAAATTCCTATTAGGTACCAGCCCAGTAAATTTGCATTTTTTTCCCGATTTTTCAAAATAAGATAATACGAATTGGATTGCGGACAGTATGCAATAGTAGGTATATCAGGTAGGCAATCTATGATGGCGCAACGATGAGAGACAGAAAGCAAAAATATAGTATTTTTCGAAAAGCAAAAACAGCAAATGTAATATAGCGGGGTCACTAGTTAGGACAGTTAAAATCGAAAACAACCCTTGATATGTTATGTAAAACCACATTGGGTGATCTCTAGGTAACGACAAACTTTGGAAAAAGTCTACTTTACTTGACATCCCGTGGAAGTAGAAAATAGAAAAAGTCAACCTGATTTGAGCAGTAAGCACTGTAATATTCAAAAACTATGATTTGCTGTAACTTTTGAACAGTGTTTAAATTTCCGAAAATTGTTTTATACACTTTTTAATTCAGTATACTAATACAGTAGTACACGTATTTCGGGTGTAAAAAATTTGAGCGTCATTCGTTTGGGCGAATAATCCAAAATTAACTTGAGTAAAGCATATATCATTTGGGTCAGAAATTAACCGATCGTTTAGGCGAATTTATAAATTATTAAATAATAGGGAAGTAACATTACGTAAGTATACAATAATTTCTATAATATTTAGTTATTACAGCTAAATATTATTATTATATCGTTTCGGCTGATCGGTGAATACAGATAGTGAACGATAATTTGTTAGATTGTACTAAGACGGAGACAAAACATTTTACTCAATATTATATTACATAATAATACTAAAGGAAAACAAGACTATACAATTTTTCTGATTGTTTAGAATTGAAGTACCTACATAATGTTATTATGAATAAACCACAGTAAAACATTTTTTTAGAAAATAAAAAAAAACACATACATTTTGCATGTTGATTCTGTTAATTTACCTATCAGGTATATTAAGTGGAAGTAAATTATAAGATTTTATTTAAGTCTAAAAACGCATTATTAAATATTATTGAATAGGTAATAACCTTTCTTATTAAATACAAAAATCGTAACATTATAATTTAAATTATTCACTTTTACTGTGTTATATATAAGTACTTGGAGTTTGGACTATTATAAATGTGTAAACATAAACTGTTCAAAAATAAAAATAAATTTGATATCGATGTATATACACTACGAATAAAGTTTTATAAATTTCATATCTTGCCAAACGTGTAGTTATGTTAAAATAGTAATACATAATAATATTATGTTGGCTAAAATTAAATATTTGGTAAATTGGTAAGCCGGTATACTTTGTATTTTCCCGGGCCGGAATCTCTCCCCAATCCGCCCCTGCTATTATACTATTATTATAATACTATAATTTGTATACTCTTAAGTCTTAACTGTGTCCGTAGACCAAAGTGAAGTTGAGCAATAGCTAATGCATTTTATCCAATCATAATAACTATTTTATTTTCTGTAACAATGGCAATCATATAAATATACAAAAAGGGCATATTATTTCTCCATGTTTTAATACACATTCCCAACTTTATCGATTTACCGATATTTTGATGATTAATATATTTCTACAACTCAACACATCAAAAAATATTAAATTTATTTTTTATTTCCATAAATAGGAATTAATTAAAATGTATCAATATTTTACTATGTAAAACTTCTATAGTTCTATCTATAAATTCTAAATGTTTAGAAAAATATTAAATTAGTCGTTGGTGTACGGTGACCATAATAGCCAATAGGTATTGTTAATATAAAATATTGAACTAATTAGTAATTAATACAAAGATTAGGTATCTCTGGTATTTTTGTGGTTATTAGATATTAAAAAAGTTAAGCATTTTTTGTAATAACTATTTATAATACACATTTTTATTCGGATTTAAATGTCAGTAATAAAGAAGTAACTGCAGAATAATTTTAGTGATCTTAAATTTACCCAAATACATAAGATGAAAAAATAGCCTAATTTTATAAATTAATATGAAATGTTGCAAACTTAGAACTAAGAATAGGTATAAATAATATATATTTTTAGCAAATAATATCCTAACTATGTAATTATTAATGTATGCCAATAATTAAGATATCATCAGTTGTCATGGCTTAAATAACAACTTATTAATTCCAAAATTCAACTAAATAAGTATTATACAGTGACTGAACATATTTTTTATGATTTTAATTTTTAAGTATACTTTATACAACCATTATAACGTTAAGAGGGGGGGGGTAGCACCATGTGTTCTGTCTTACAAACGTATTACATAGCAAATTGTATGCTCAGCAGATCACGTTTAGCTCTGTTAGTTTAAAATTTAAAATGAATTGACCTTTTATAAAATTTAAAGGTAAAATTATTATCTAGTGAACCTCATATTTTATTTTTAGATTTTAATTTTAAAGCAAATTATAAATTGTAAAAAATAATTTTTAAAGTTGAAATTGTAAATTGTTTGTGCATTTTAAAATACTAATAACTTGCTTTAAAATTAAAATATAAAAAAAACCTATAAGATTCACTAGATAATAATCTTCCTTTTATATTTTATAAGAAGTCAATTCACTCTAATTTTTAAACTATTAGAGCTAGAAGTGATCTTCCGAGAGTACAATTTGCTATGTTATGCATTTGCAAGACTGAGAGAACACATGCGGGTGTGGCGTCCTCTTAAATGTTGTACATACAATAGTTTATTGGAAATAGTAATCTAGGCTCTAGCAATGTTTTCTATTGAGGATTGGCAAATTATGATATCCACAACACTTCCAAAATGTTGTCTAATATTTTTCAACTGCTTATAAAACTGTCCAAAATAATTAATATATCAGATTCACTGGCCTACACAGGGCGGGATCGGGGATGGTTTGTGTGTTCAAACCCTCCTCCCTGTTATGTTTTTAATATATGTATTATATATTGGCGTATAAAACTGATAAAATTTAAATAATATTTTGATACCTATATGTATGTTTATTATTTCTTTATATAACCCTTCCCATTGAAAATATCTGTGTCAATATGATTTAATATTAATAATCAACATCAATTATTTATTAACATAAAAAAAAATCAAGGAAATTGAAACAAATTTATTGATAGGTATAATATTTGATATTTAATTATAATTATAATTGTTGTTTATCTGTACAAGTTGTACAACTATAATACTGTACTAGTCTAGAGTGGTGTATTATAGGAAAAATAACCAACATTCTGCATAGTTAATTTTGTTACGCATTAATAATTTAGTAAAAATTAAATGCAGTTTTATATTATGATTCTTACAATGGTTATGTTACTTTTCAATAATTTATTTTGTATTGTATTCCAAAAAAATTACTGTGGTTAAAATCATGATTAAATATACTTTCTCTCTTAAGGACGATCAATATAAATTATATTGTATCAGGAGTTATATTAGCTCATAAAAATTAAAAATGTTTAAAACTCTATTTAATTAATACAAACTTTAAATACTAAGTTCCTATTATGTAAATAACCATATTAATCAGTAATTATACAAAATTCATAAATCAAATGAATAAAAGAAGACTACTCATATTATATCACACACTTTTTACCCCATTGTTATTGGGTTTTCTTATTTATGAAAATCAAAATTTGTATCTATACAAAGTTAAAATTAACAAAATTCTTAAAGAAGTGTATATAATTATTAATGTTTATAGTACTTGGCAAGAGGTAAAGTAGCATTAAAATGTAAAGTCAAGTGTAAATCTATTTTACTGCTTGTGTTGTTATTTATTAAATACAACATTTTAATGGTTTTTGAAGTATGATTTTGTATACAATACATAAAAATTGAATTATCTTTGTAGCTTATATCAATAATAAATATTAACACAATATAAAAATTTAATATATTATGTCAAAGTGGATTTTATTCACTTCATTGTTGTAAGCTGTAGATGATGAGGTGTTTAATTTAAATGAAAAACAATAGAATTCATTAATTAAAACCATAATGTAACCCTTAAAAAACTTTAGCTACAATTAACCGTCTTACAGAAATATTGAATATCACACCAAACATGTTACCACAAACCATAAATAATTGAATAATTATTATCCATACCAATTGTTTTTGTGTGTAGCACAGTTCAACTATCTGTTATAGTATTAACACTACATCCAAATTATTTAAAATATATAATACTAAATTGTTTAATAAAAATTATAAGGTAATAATAAAAATCCAATGAGTTCAGTTTATATACAAAATTTATTCCATGTATATTTATTATAGGTAAAACTCGTAAACACCTTATACAACTAGAATATTCCAAGCAAACTCTTACATGTGTACAATGAATATTAAATAATTATACAAATCTACCAGATTCAAATAAATTGCAATGTAGAGTAGTTAATTTTGGAATTTTGAAATAAAAAGAAAAAAAACAAAAGAAATGAATGGACAAATCAGTCTCAAAATAATATTTAACAATAAAAAATATAGGAAATGTTCTTTCAAAATAAATTCACTTTTTAATAGTTTAATCAACTTCTTCCATACGAGAAGAATCTTCAGCATCAGCTTCGACAACAGGCTCGGAGGCTTCAACTTCAGCGGATTTCTCTTCAGCTACTGGCAAATCCTCATCAATGCCCAAACCCAATTTGATCATTCGGTGGATTCTCGAAGCGTGAACTTGTGGATCTTCAAGTCCAAAACCAGATGACAACAAGCTTGTCTCGAACAAAAGCATGACCAAGTCTCTGACGGCTTTGTCATTAGAATCAGCTTCAGCCTTTTGTCTGAGTGTCTCAATGATTGGGTGGTCTGGGTTGATTTCCAAGTGTTTTTTGGCCGACATATAACCCATGGTAGACGAATCTCTGAGTGCTTGTGCCTTCATAATACGTTCCATGTTGGCAGTCCAACCGTATTGTGATGTGACAATGCAACAGGGAGACTCAACAAGTCTGTTACTGATGACAACTTTCTCAACTTTCTTGTCCAAAATGTCCTTAACAACTTTGCACAACTTTTCAAATCTGGATTGATCATCCTCGCGTTTCTTCTTTTCTTCATCAGTTTCGGGCAAGTCTAACCCTTCCTTGGTGACAGATACCAAGTTCTTGCCGTCATATTCTTTCATTTGTTGAACGACGTATTCATCGATGGGTTCAGTCATGTAAATAACCTCAAAACCACGTTTCTTAACACGTTCAACAAATGATGAGTTGGACACTTGTTCGCGGCTTTCACCAGTGATGTAGTAAATGTGTGTTTGATTTGGCTTCATACGTGCAACATATTCCTTGAGGGAGCATGATTCATCGCCACTGGCTGAAGAATGGAATCTCAACAAGTCTGAGAGTTTCTTTCTGTTTTGGCTATCCTCGTGGATTCCAAGTTTCAAGTTTTTGCTGAACTGTTCGTACAACTTCTTGTAGTTGTCCTTGTCTTCTGCCAATTCCTCGAACAATTCCAAACATTTCTTAACCAAGTTCTTCCTGATAACCTTTAAGATCTTGTTTTGTTGGAGCATTTCACGGGAAATGTTCAACGGCAAATCTTCACTGTCAACAACACCCTTGATGAAGTTCAAGTATTCTGGCATGAGGTCTTCACAGTTGTCCATGATGAAAACACGACGAACGTACAATTTAATGTTGTTCTTCTTCTTTTTGTTCTCAAACATATCATAAGGCGCACGCTTGGGAATGAACAACAATGCTCTGAATTCAAGTTGTCCTTCCACAGAGAAGTGTTTGACAGCTAAATGGTCTTCCCAGTCGTTGGTCAAGGATTTGTAGAATTCACCATATTCATCTTGGCTGATATCATCAGGGTTGCGTGTCCAGATTGGTTTTGTTTTGTTCAAGACCTCTTCATCCAAGTACTTTTCTTTAATGGTCTTCTTCTTTTTCTTGTCTTTGTCCTCATCTTTTTTGTCTTCGTCTTCATCTTCACCGACATCCTCAATTTTGGGTTTTTTGTCTTCTTCTGTTTCCCCTTCAACTTCTTCCTTCTTTTCTTCTTCAGCTTCATCGTCACTGACTTCTTTGGTACGTTCATTCTCAACGATTAATTTGATCGGGTAGCCAATGAATTGAGAGTGCTTCTTGATGATGCTGGTAATTTTTTCTTGTTGAAGGAACTCGGCTTGGTCTTCTTTGATTTGAAGGACAATCTTGGTACCACGGCCCAATGGTTCACCGGGATCAGTACGGATGGTGAATGAACCTCCGGCAGCAGATTCCCACAAGTATTGTTCGTCATCGTTGTGTTTAGAAACAACAGTAACCTTGTCAGCTACCAAATAGGCGGAATAGAAACCCACACCAAATTGACCAATCATGGAAATGTCAGCTCCAGCTTGTAAAGCTTCCATGAAAGCCTTGGTACCAGATTTGGCAATGGTTCCCAAGTTGTTGACTAGATCAGCTTTGGTCATACCGATACCACTAAAATAATAATATTATGGTTAGGAAAGTTATTTATATTTAAACCTATTTATTTATATTAATAATAAAAATACTTACGTGTCAATAATGGTCAAAGTTTTTTCTTCCGCATTGGGGATGATTTTAATGTGTAAGTCTTTGCCAGATTCCAATTTGGATGGATCAGTCAACGACTCGTAACGAATTTTGTCCAATGCATCAGAAGAGTTGGATACCAATTCTCGCAAAAAGATTTCTTTGTTGGAGTAGAAGGTGTTGATGATGAGAGACATAAGCTGAGCAATCTCAGCTTGGAAAGCGAAGGTCTCAACATCTTCAGTTGCAGTCATGGTAACGTCTTCAGGCATCTAAAATAAATAGTATAAAATTATTATTTTGTAACACCATAATATTCATATCATATATAATTAAATAATATTGATACACTTATAACATAATATACTAATATAACAATATCAATATTAGAAAAAATTTTTAGCAGGTATATAAATCTAACGATGTGTATGCTATTTTTGTTAATTAATCTGAGTATTATGAATAATGGAGATGAAATGTTACAATGAGACAATTATAAATTAAGTTGAAAATAAATTTTAATAGATAGGTAGGTCTTAATAATTTATTCAAGTATCTATTTAAAATCAAAATTACCGAAGTACCTACATTAATTCAATAAATTAAAAATTAAGTTAATTAAGTAGTCAAGAAAAAGAATTAATTTAATAAAAAAAATAATGAATGAAGTAGTTTGTAGCGAGAACATGTAATCAATTTATTCGGTCGCACGGAAAAATAGAATTAACACCTTAAAAATATATTGTAAAAAATTCAACAAATGATTAGTACTTACAATTTATCGAGTGTAAAATAGGATTGATCGCAAAAAGAATGGACACAAAAAAAAACTGCAAGCACCAATCGGCAAACAGTATCGATCGCAGGTAGAATCGCAGGCGTGGAGCGTGCGTGCTTCGAGATTGACGACGAACTCAAAAGTGACGATCAACCGACGACGGCTGCCGGTATTTATAATCTCCCGTGGCCGCCGGGCCGAAGGTTCGCGAACGTTCTACCGGCTTGATGGAGCGCGTTGGTCAAAGCCGACGCGTCTGACGGTGCGGCCGCGCACATGTTAGGGCAAACAGCGAACGGTGCCGGGCCGTATGCGGTGCACTGGCCGCCCGGTGCGCAACGACCAAACGATACGCAGCGGACGGTGACGCGCGAACGGTGGCGGGGCGGTCGCCGTAATACGGGGCGCTTTGACCAACGTCATTCCGACTTGCGTTTTTCGTCGGCCGGGTGTATGTCGAGAATCTTCTAGAACATTCTATGAGCCGCCTGCCGTATACAGAGTGTTACAGTGACTAATCATTTTCTCTCGTATGCCATATCATTTTCGTGTTAAATTTTTAGAACTTTTTTTCTCCACCATTCCCAATCGAATTTTTGATAGTTTCAGCGGTTAATAGTCAATATAAAATAGATCAACTTATAGTTATTATAATTTATTATCGTATACGATTTTCCAGTTTCCGTTAATTTGATTACATCATCTGCACAAGTCGTATTTTCCAACGTGGTTTCCGAATGGGGTTTTTTTTTATAATTATTTAACAATACTTTCAAACTGTATGATCGACTGCATAGCGATTTCGCGAGTCCGCTTGCTGTAAAATTTCAAACGACAAATTGTCGTTATATTTCGCCGGGACGCGGCGTTCACCTAGCGTATCGCACGAAATTTCTATTATTTCGAATCGAATAATATATAGATGGTATTTCGATCAGAAAAGCGAAAAAATTGGTCACAAAATTCAACCCAAAGTCTAAATACTGGTCTCAAAACCGTATGACGATTAAAATTTCGTAAACAGATCGTCCGCCATCGTGGTTTAACCCGGCATCCGAATTATTATCCAGGGCTTAATATTATTTATTACAATTTATCGTCTTATTTACTATTCACTACTTTTTTTATAATTGTATATACTCAAAATCACCCGTAATGAGATCAAATCGTGAAAACCACTATTAAAGATATATGGTCAAAACTATAAAAGATTATCACGTCACGTACATTTTATATCCCTTATCGTTAATTGTTCCGATAAAATATAATTTTAGATTTTAAAAAACCTACAAAACCATGTTTGCAGTAAATTATTATGTCTATAATATTATAATTATATACAAAAAGATATAATATGATTATTAATAATTACTCTATTATGGTATATTATTAATATACAATAATTTATAATACAGGGACACCTCCCTTTAACCGGACACTATTATGGGATTTTAACTTTTGATTAAAATCATTTTTATCGTAAATTTAGAATAATAAATTGTGGAATATCTAGAGAAAAGTCTACGAGTGTAAATTCTATATTATTATATTATATCTACAAATAAATATTGGGCGACAGTGTTTTATAATATTCTATAGGTATAGTATTGTCGGAAATCGGAATATGTACGTGTATTGCATAAACCAAACACTTATAATCCGAATTAACATTTTTTTTTTAGTTTGGATTTTCTGCAATACCGTCCCCAAATAATTTCTACTGATCAAGAACAATATTTTCAAATTATAATTATATACGATTTAATATTTTACAACAATAAAATAATAGTGGTCTATTGTTTTCAAACGTGATCAGCTATACTATATAAATAGTCATAATGGCGATTTTCCCGTCGTCCTAACTCATTCGGCAATTATAAATATAACCTATAATATTATTATTCTATACTCTATATCATAGTATACATGCAAAAAATCAACGAAACATTGACCTTTGTCGTGAAGTCTTTTGTTAGTTTTTGAACGAATAATCGAAATCACTCGGCGGAGCGCATATATTATAGTATTCATTCTCAAATTTCCGGCCAACTGAAAATAGTTAAATCCTTAAGAATTTACAATAATATTATTGTAAATTTTAATCTTAGTAGTTTTAGAGTCTTAGCAGTTTTTGCGCTGCACCATAATATTGTATTTCGTTACCGACGAATAATATTAAAGAATTTTGTACCCGAAAAATGGTGCAATAATTTAGGAAATACCATCATATTTTGATAATTTTACTATATTATTATAGTAGTCAACACTCCGTTTAATATTCGTCATTCGGATGTGTGTATACCGCAATGTTATAATTTATAATAAATAAAGAAGATACGTCCTGTTATTTCTACGCGGAGTGCGGATATTATAATTTTTTCGTACGATATAAACGTTTCAGGTTTCAACTTGAATTGTACTAATTTAAATTATTTATAAATAAATCATTATCTATTCAATAATATTAACCTAATTAGTAATTTCATTAGATACTATAGCCTATAGGTGTTATATTCAATGGTTATACCTTACTACCATAGGTCATACATGTAAATCACATTACATATTATCTATTTACGTCATGTTTTGACGTATAATTATTTTAATATAGTTTTATCTATTTATCTAAAAATTAACGAGACACAAATAATTAAGAATAGTAGGAATATATTAATAATAAATATATTAATTAATATTATAGCACATGTGGAGATATCATATTATTGTTGCGAATAAGTTGAAGAACTTGTTTTACGTTCACTCTGTATACTCAGTATGTTCATTGTTCAAAACACGTGGAAATACAGCACCACTAACCACAGACCACAGTGGCACAGTAGTACATGAGTACATTATACAGTATTATTTAATATTTAACGAATTGGGCGGCATGGATCGTCGATTCTCCATTACAATAATAATTGTATATCAATGAAACCAACCGATTACTGTGCATTTTGTTCAATCCCCAAAATACTTGGTCAAAATAAAAAAAAAAACTCAAATAAAATAAAATATAACTTATAATCTCTATTTGAAGTGGTGTCAATGGGCGCCCCCTTCTCTCAAGCCTTCATGTTCTTTCCGTTTTTTCGTTTAAGCTTTCATAATTTACTTATTGTATTATTTTATGTATACAGATGGTAAATATTCATTTAATAAAATGAAAAAAATAAAAAAAAACTTATAATCTCTAAATTCTCAGAGTTTTTTTGTTCTGGAATAACCGACTTCTGACAGACGACTGTTCATAATCATTAATATTTAATAACCAATAATCTTTTTTACTTAAATTACCCACACAGTACTATTTTATCTCTCGAAGTAATTAATAGACTAGGCAGTAGGAGTCTCAGACAGTAGACACTCAGTCCATAGTAAAGGCTTATGTCGCTTATAATATAGTATAGCCGTATAGGTAGGGCACTATAGATACTAGGTATGCAATGTGGCCATTTTGCGACTCAATAATGATATGTGAATATGAATTTCCCCTCCTTTATTTTATAATTTTATCACAGAATAGATGAAATTTCATCTATTCTGTGATTTTATCATTGATAAATGAGCCGCAAAATGGTGGCTTAGCATCATATTATGCATGATATTGTCATGATATTATGTAGAGCCTTACAGTAATTACCTTAATACCTTATAGTAATTAGTATAGGTAAACAATAATATACCCATAGGCGCAAATAGACATATTATTTTGGGGGGACTAAAGCCCTCCTATAATATTTTCTAAAAATTATACATGCTCAGTACTAATTACTGACTTTTTAACCTTTTTACTTTTTAACCCCCACCTATTTGCGCCAATAGATATACCGATCGGAAAGCTATTCGGTGTTTCACTGTTTCCTAATAACAGTTTGAGACTGTTTGTCAAATACCTAGATGGGTAGATATAGATTAAAATATTATTGCATAGTGTATTATAGTTTTATCTAAATATTAAATAGTTAAATCTTATATAATATGAATAATAAGGATATATTAATTTTATTTATTTATGAAATTCTGGTTTATGGGTCATTTATCTTTATACCTAATCAAAGTACCTAGTACCTATTTTTTTTTATAATTATCTCGATTATCTTGGCTAATTGATCTGGTCCTCAAACAATCGACCCTTTGTCCATTTTTCCAATCTTTATTTTTAAATTTTATTAATATGCATAACATGCTTCAATAGTAACTAATATTTTTTATTATTTTTATTAGTTATCATTTATTAGATTATACATGAAATAATAATTAAAATTGAAGGGTTAGGTATAAGTTTATTAATTTTTTTACCTGACCTTTCTAGTTTCTATTTATTATATTCGTAATAGATTATTTCCATAATTTAATTGGTATTCAAATTGTATGCACTTGTGTACCTACAACCTACCTACTAAGTTATAGATTTTTTTGTACACACCAATTAACATTTTATATTTCAAAATAATTTGAGTTTTATAATTGACAGGGTAAGGTCATCACTCATCATATCAAACATGATCACTTTATTATTGGAAATAGGAATCAATATTAAATTAGGAATACCATTATTGTCTATAACCAATTGGTAATTCCCAGAGCCCTACTTGGGAATTTTGGGGCCGGGGTTAATATTTTGCTACAGCATTTTTCTACATAGCTTTTTTATATTCAATTTATTTTTCAAGATTATAAATAAATTATACTATAAGTCTATGAGTAAGTAATTATTTAATGTTGATTGATATAAACAAAACGTATATGCCTATTACAGTAATAATATAATATGGGTGCTGCAACCTCCCCAGTACCCCCTCCCATAAGTAGGGCTCTGGAAATCACCAAGGAAGCAATAGGTGGATACCTACACAAATGTATGGACATCTATAGTATATCTATCTTGATTATAACAAAATACTGAGGATAGGTACAAATTAATACCACTGAATAAAAATTAGTTGTTAATACAATCAAAATTCTTTATTGAAATATTATATTTTTCATGAAAAAAAAAAATACCCATAACCTTTCTATTGTCTATAGACTATAAGTAATTAGGTACTGACTTTTTTCTTTTTATTAAGTAAAAATTAATTTATCAATTAATTTATTTGTTATTTAAATATAAAATTGTAATATTATATGGTTGTTCATAATATTATAGTATTACACTGTGACAAGGCAATATGGCATTTTCTAATAGGTATAGCATAACAATGAACAGAACATTTAATTTTATTAGAAATATAATTTTGATCAATATTGCAATTGATTTTCTTCAGTTTTAAGTAAAATAACATCGATCTCTATTAATATGATTGTACCTACATCTTTTGCCATAACCTACTATTTTATAGTAGATGTCAGCAAATAATAATTACTAACCATAATAACAACTACACTAATTTGAAATACATAGGTATTAAATATATTATTGCATATTATATGAAATATCTGATTATGTATTAAGTTATATTAATATTTTTTTTTTGTAATGTGGTTAATTAACTTACAAAGTTAAAAAATTATAAATTGTATTATTGATATCAATAGATTGGCTCATTATTCATTAATATTATGACATCCAGAATTCTTTATTTATTTAATTATTTATTTATACAAATTTAACTGACTTGGTTGTTAGAACGAGGCAAAATATGTCCATTAATAATGTAATTGTAATATTTATAACTTGATAATATTGAGAAAATTACATAATTTATAATAAGTAATTTAATGACGTTTTATGTAGCTGAGTATTCTGAACACATTTTAAATAATAAATTAAAATAATTTAATTTAACCTGAATTAGATTGACATTATTGTAATAAGAAGATTTAGGTGAGTAATTACTGCATTAGAGTTATGAGATTATTTATATTCTGTAATATAAGATATTAAATAGTTTTGTAATTCAATGATATAATTATAAAAAGTTAAAAAATATTTACAAACTAAAATTTTAATAAATAAATTGTTAATCATTTAATCATGGAAAAACATAAATGGCTTTATATTTTCTTACATACTCCCGAGGACTACTTAAAAAATCTTCTTAATATTATGTTGTCTCAGCCTATCAAACGTGAAACATAGCAAATCTACATTCAAAATAACCAATTTTGTTGTGTTAGCTAACAGATGACATATTATCAACTTAAAAGAAAGAACATTGTCAGAGTTTGCACTTCAATTATTTTCAAGGAAGTTATGATTCATTTATGAAAAATATGTGAAATATTACAATTTATAAATGCTCAACTCATATGAAAATTAAAATGTTATAAAAAAATCAATGTACAAAGACAGATAATGTTGTTCCTTTTAAATTTTGATAATACATAGTTCAATTCACTAGGATACTAAATTATTAAAGCTAGAAACACAAAATTTGATATGTTGTGCATGTACATACAAAGATTCCTTAAATTTTTATTTAATTTTTTTATTAATAAAACATAATACATAATAATGTCATAAAAGTATTTTATTTTCATACAAACTATAATTTTATAACATAATATAATTTTGTTAACAAGGAAATTTATATTTTATAATTATTCAGACGTTTTGCTTGGTTTTATTTTTTTTTCCTTTTTAACTTTATTTGTTTTAATTACAGGTTTATTTTTATGACTTTTATTATTTTTCTGGTCATTTTTCTGGTGGGTTCCTCCAAGTTTTCTACTAAACATCTTTTTGCCTACATCTCTTTTATGTCTTTTATCTTTATTTTTCAAAAAATCTCTTAATATATCCCTTTTCTTAACGAATCTTGGATCTTGACTTCCAGTATAATTGGTTTTATTAAATTGAGAATCATAAAATTCTTGAGCATCTAAAATAAAAAATAATAAATTTAATAAAACAATTTATCAATAACAACAGTATAAAATTGATTTGTACCTTTGAATCTAGAATCATCTACTTTGAAAAAAAAAACTTCTCGCCAAACACCTCCCGATCCTAAAAATTTTCCCGAAGGCACTTCATCAACCTCAGCTTCAAAATGTTCTTCTCTATTTTCCAAATTGTATTCTTCATTTTCTGAGTCACTAGAGTCATCAATAAATGGATTTCGACCAAATTTCTTTTGAGGTTTAGTTATTTTTTCTGTTTGATATTCATTTTTGTCTACATCATTATCGACTATCAAACAAAAAGTTAATAATATATTAAGTTGTTTATTATAATTTATAATATATATTATATTGATATTTTTGTTTGTATATTTCATAGCAACTTTGTGAAATTGATCTTTTCATCTTTTCAAAGTTGTCCAGTACACGAATGTAAGCAACTAATTGACAAAATTGTCACTCTTTTCATTTGGAGGAATTACCGTTATTCACAAAACTTATATTTATTACATAGTAGTATATAGTATTTAACTATTAAGGGGCCGTTACAGGCTGCAGTTACCTACATTTGTTTTCTCTGTCTTATAAGTAACATAGCAAATTTTACGCTCAGCAAAACACGTTTATCTACCGTTAGCTTAAAAGTTAAAGCCAATTGACCTCTTATACAATTTAAAGGTAAGATTATTATCTAGACAGTGACATAGGCTTTTTATTATATTTTTATTTTGAAGCGAGTTATGAGTATTTGAAGGTGTACAAATACAGTTTACAATTTTAAAATACACATAACTTTTTTTTAAATTAAATTATAATAAAAAGCCTATGTCATTGTCTAGATAATAATCTTACCTTTAAATTTTTTAAGAGGTCAATTATTCGCTCTAATTTTTAAACTAATGATAAACGTGAGATAAACGTGTTTTGCTGAGCGTAAAATTTGCTATGCTACGCACTTGTATGACGGAAACAAGAAATGTCACTGTAACGTCCCCTTAAGTCATATTAAATAAACATACTATTTATCTACAATAACCTGGGTATCTGAAATGTGTAGATTCAACACTGGATGTATTCAGCATACCATTATAAGTTATATTTCACTATTTCAGATGTATAACAAACAAAAATAATTAACTGTTCAAGAAGTTCCTAAGTTGTTGGTCTATAAATGACAAATGGTCTAAACATGGTTGTTGGTCAATTCAAACGACTATTTTAAAAGTATAACATAACATTTTGTTTACAGCTGTTGTCATAATTTATCGCCCAAATTTAAATACTTTAAATAAATAATAATAATAAATCATCAATATCAATAACAACATTGTATACATTTCTTTTTTAATAAGTATTAAATTTGGTTTACATAATATTATTATACAGGATTCATTTAATGTAAGAAGACACTTAATATTTCAGAAAACACTAAAATTTTTGTTTTAAGTTGTTACAAAACAACATTTTTTTATTAATATTTAGTATTGTTACTATTTTTAAGTTTTTATTTTTTACTCTTAAATTAAAATATAAATTTTTAATTTCATATTCCGAAGCAGAATATTACTTGGAAAATTTTGATCTGTAAGAATCAAATTTCAGATAAGTTTATCAATAAAGTATTAATAAGTATTTTAAGTTAAGATGACATTTTGTGGGCATATTAAGTTGAATTTATCTTATATTTAGTTTTTGAAGATTTGATTGTTTTAAATTGAAGAAGTTCTACTAAATACAATTTCAATAAATTATATATTAAAATCTAAAATTTAATGGTATTTACTATTTAATCAAATGTTAAGAGATATCAATAGTATGGAAAACTTATATGAAAATTTATTTTAGTGTTTGAAATAATATGGTTTAATGAGTGGTTTGAGAGTATAAACATTAAACACCCATTATCAATATTGTAGAAGAGAAGTTAATCTGATTCTGTATAAAAGTCAATTTTCAATATTTGAATTACTAAACTCAAAATACCACACGTTTTAGAGCTAAATATTGAACATCAAAAATAAAATCTTGAAAATGACTCATAATATACAGGCTTGGATAAACATCTTCGCTTCAATTTGTATAATAAATGTTCATACTATAATACCATTCAATAAGCTATATTATTGGATAAACAAAACTTAGTTTCAGTGTTTCAATAAAATTCACATTTGTAAATTGTAATTAGTGAGACAAAAAATATCTGTGTAGTGTTATCTTAACAATTCTAAAAATTATATCATGGTAAATATTTTTATCAAATTATGTATTTAACTCACTTTTATCAGAAGTTGGAAATAAGCTAGTAAAGCTAAATTGATTTTGAGAACTAAATACATCTTTTAGTTTATCGCCAACTTTGTAATATTTATCTGTATCAACAACTGCTTCAGCTGCAACTTTCTTTTGTTCTATTTTTTGCTTTTTAGGCCGCTTCTGTTTTGGTAATTCTGGTTTGTCTTTTACATATTTTTTATGTTCTTCTTGTGTTGGATCATATCTCACCATGTTGAATCTAAATCAGATACAAATAATTATTAAAGATTTACTATCTTGTTTAGTAAAATATTTTAGGGAATTCCTTTTTTTAATAATTTAAAAAACGCAAAATATATGTATAAACAAAATACTCTGTTTCTTAAACTCGAACAACTTAATATGATTGATATTTCAAATCGAACAAATTTAATAAAAGTATCATAACACATCTGTTTTATATTTTTTTGTTAATGCAACATTTTTATTAATTCAAATTTTTTTCATCCTTCTTGAACTTCAAGTTATCAAGAACCCTAAGTTTAATCATTAGTCAGTTTCATTGAATTTTAAATTATTCATTTTTGAAAAAAATTTAATGAATCTAGTTTAGCTAAAATCATTTACGATGTTAAGACTTAAGCCTAATAAATAGTCAGAATTTAGCAGTTAAAGCTAATTTTGAAGTTCTGAAAATTTGAATCTGTATATTTTGGCACTATATAAATATTAATTAATGTACTCAATTTTTCATTTTCATTGCTTAACTTGTGACAGATTTTAAAATACACAGATAAAACATAACATAGGAGTTTTCGGTAACTAAAAATATGCTGTAGGTTTGCTGTATCCATTTGCACTAAGCACAATGTAAAGGGATACAGCGAACCAAGGTGGCTGACAGGATACTTTTAGTAACCGGAAACTCCTATGTTATGGCTTACCTTTATCTAAAATCAATGCTTGGATATAAAATGAATGTTACATTTTACAGAGGGTTAACTAAAATTAAAGTGGCAGATTTAAATTTGTAGCTTTTAACACACAAAAATAAGCTATAAATATATTTAGTGTTTCATACTACATAGTAAGATATTTTTTACTATTCTTTTAAGAAACGAACAAAGTTATTTAGTTAATTAATTGACAATTAAGAGTGGTGGACAATATTTTATCACAAAAAATTATGAAGTATACAAAAGCACATTAATAGTTTCGGATTATAATAATTATAATTTTCGAAATTTTGTTTTATGTTTAACTATACTAAAAGTATTCAAAAAGAACACAAATCATAGAGTAACTAAACCAGATTTGTTCCAAATAATCTTACATTTCGTCTCCTTTAATCTTATTCTGTTTTTTAATTGATCGGCCAATAACATCTTCTAAAATATTCATTTGATTTTCTATCTCATCATCGCTCAATTTTTCAGTAGTTTCTTGTTCTTCAAAAAATCGTTTGTCCATTACAAAACGGTCATCTCCAGTAGCTTTAGATGTTTGCATATGGAACAACTAAAATATTAAATAAATAATATTTTAATAAAATAATATATAATTTTTTTTTTTTAATTTTGTCTTTTAACTTGAAAGTAAAAAAATATATACATGTTATATGAAAATGTACATATGTTAAAGTCTCAATATATAAATAATGATGTCACCTTTTTGCCTTTTTCACCTTCAAATCGCAATTTTAACTTGTAATCGGACACTAATGTTCCTTGATTTTCATGATCACTAGCATCATCATCATCAAATAATGATATCTTTTGAGTAGATAATTGCAAATCGTTTACTTTTTGATCACCATCTTCATCAAATTTTATTTTCTTGTTCGATGATTCTCCCTAAAAATAATAAAATTATGATTCTTATTATTTATTTTGGGTTTCAGTAAGATCAATGTCCTGCTAAAACTCAAACCAATAAAATATAGTACGTTAAATAAAAATCAAGAGTTATGATGTAAATTGAAATAACATATATCAATTAAATTAAATATGGTTAAAGAATTCAGTAAAATGGACCTAAAAGTACTGTCACTTATTGGTAAATTGAGTTGAAGGGTATAAAATTCAAAATTCAAATAATGTTATATGTTCTAAAATGATCAATAATACATATATTATATGAAAATAGTCTGTCTGTCTTGAATAAATACATTTTTAACAATAATCACAGGTTATCTTTGTACAATATTTGAAAATTAAAATTACTCGTTTAAAATATGTATGCCAGTTTGTATGAAAATGTATTAATTGAATGGACCATTAGCTCACTATTGATTTGTTAAATGTTTAGTGATTATTCATGCAACTTAATATGTTAACTAGTTTACTAAACTGACCGCAGTATAAATATTATTTTATGGGTATCTACTAAGTGATTAGTAAACACCTTACCCATAAATTGAATTAAACATCTATAAAAACTAATAAATTAACAATGGACAAAATAATTTTTATAAAGTATTTAAAATATATATATACACAAAACTTTAAATTGATGGATTAATTAATTAAAATTATAACTTTTTATCGAAACTATTATAATATAAATTATAATATCATGGGTTATAAGGATTTTTAAAACAATGTTTGATATTATGTAAGGTACCTTTAGTGCATTGGCAATTGCACACTTTTGGTCTTGTAATGTTTTCCATTTTTCGGCTAATGCGTTCTGACGTTTGGCATCGTCTTCTTGAGTTTTTCCTACGCTTTTAACATCTACACAAATAAAAAATCAATGAAAAATAACACCCAATGAATGTTAAATAATACCGCGCTCGTTTGTATTTGTATAGTTTTACCTTTTTGTTTCGTTTTCATCGCCGAACCGATTCCCGAGAAGGCCGGTAGATTCCTCTTCCGTGTTGATTCGGATTTCTCTATCATCGTAAAAGGTGTCGTCTAAAACCTTCTAAATTGAAGGCGGGCGAAAAGGCACACGAAATTATTGGAAAATCTTATGTTTAAAAAAAAAACCAATGCGGTCTTGTTTATAGTCAACACGCGTTGGTGATAAGGTTTATCAGACATTAAATAGAGATAACACTTTTAGTCGGTATGATGATAATATGTTTCGACCATGGTTATGTTTAAGTACCTTCATAACCTCAGAACAATATAACCACAAAACCCAAGTCGTCGAATACCGGCCACCGGGGCATTGTACCATTTTATTGTTTTAACCATTGTGAAATCTGGACATTTTGGACTTTGACACTTTGTTTTTGTCTCTCGTCCGATAAACATCAATCTTGGGACCGCCTTTTCTGTTCTTACCAGTACAAATTTTTTTCGCAGCACGCCCACCAAACAACGGTCAGTACAACAACTAACTATTCTGCAGCCGTTTTGTTTTTTCCTATTCTTTTCTCACGAAATTTGATCTCATTGTATTCCTTCGCCGTCCATCACCTCGCGGCCGCTAAACAATATCAAACACCCCGGCGGTCTCCTCGCTTGTTTTACATGTTCATTTGCTCGATACTAACAGCGTTTCAAATACTCATCAGAATAGTCATGGGCGACCCGAATGCGGAACGTACTTTCATCATGATCAAGCCCGACGGTGTGCAGCGCGGTCTTGTCGGCAAGATCATCAAACGTTTCGAGACCAAGGGATTCAAACTGGTCGCCATGAAATTCCTCTGGGTGAGTAAGATAAATGATCTTCGGCCGTAAGATACAATTAATATACTATTTAACATAATAAACCGGGACCTGAATCACTGATTGCGATCCATTGCCCGGCATCAGGTGACCTTAATCGGTAAAGCTACGACGCGTTCCGTCCAGGCATCCAAGTGCAATCCATTTTTCTATGAGTTTTTCAAATTTTTTTTCTTACAACAACTTATCAATATCAATATTTATCTGAAATGTTATTTAAGATTATTTACAATCAATATTTTTATATGAAATAGTTGAAACCATAGACGTATAATATATTATACGTCTATGGTTGAAACAATGTGTTTTTACCATAACATACTAAAAGTAATATCATTGTATATTTGTATTGCATTTTAGGTTATGGTAATGTTTAATAATAACTTTAATTTGAATTTCCAGATTTCGATATTATTATCTTCTATTTTATTTGTTGCCACGAATTAAAACATTATTTGTGATTGCTAGTTACTACTAGTAATGATAATTTCATAGGTTGTCGTTTTCTTTATTAGATAGTGGATGATACCTATTATTGTAGAATTAGATAAAATATTTAGTTGGATTACCCTTAAACTAATTGCAATGCCAGATAAAATTAATTTTGTGAGATAAAAAACATTTCAGATACCTGTTATTTCTTGTCTTTAATTATTTAGTATTAATATTTATCAATTCCATTGTAAAAAAAATAATTTTTAAATAGGATCACTTAAGTTTCTATTATCAAAACCAATGTAACTATAACTATTTTTATTTTATAATTGTGGACTTTTTTTCATGTCTCCGTGTTGAAATTAAAAAAAAAATAAATATATAAATATATTTTGGGACTGATCCAATTGAGATTTTTTTGTCCAAAAAAGCCTCGAGCAAACTTAAAGTTAGGCGTAACGTTAGATAAATAATTATAAAATTAAGCATTTTATAATAATACATTAGTTTGAACTTTGATGTCTTTTAGAGCGTAGACAATGATACTAATTGTGTAAATATACTTGGAAATTATTAATAAGCCATTTGTTTTTTAATATTATTAATTATTATTAATGCTGTAAATAACTTTTAAAAACCTTCATTTTTATGTGTGTAGCCTTCTGAAGAATTGTTGAAGAATCACTATGCTGATCTTTCTAGCAAAGCATTCTTCCCCGGTCTTATCAAGTACATGGCATCTGGACCCGTTGTCCCCATGGTAAATTTTGTTATAATATATTCATAATATATATTTTATTAATTATCTAAAACCGTATAATTGTAGGTATGGGAAGGATTAGATGCTGTAAAAACTGGACGTTTCATTCTTGGTGCTACTGACCCGAAAAACTCAAACCCAGGAACTATTAGAGGAGATTTATGTATCCAAGTTGGCCGGTAAATATATATTGATTTTTTTAAATTTATTTTACTGTTAATTTTTATATTTTATATTTTTATAGCAATATCATTCATGGATCGGATGCTGTAGAATCTGCTAACAAAGAAATTGCTTTGTGGTTCTCTGAAAAAGAAGTGGTCCCATGGACAAAGGATATCGACTCGTGGGTCTATGAATAAATAAAATAAACATGGTATTAATATTTAAGTAATGTTCGAGCTTAAATAAGACCCAACTCAAAGTTATGTACGTGTAATTGTGCATTTTAATAAATAAATTCTTATAAAATATTTTGTCCTATTGTTATGATTTTTTATACATTTTATTTGTTAATCAACACATGTCATCCATTCCTCCTCTCAATAGGGTTTGTAATTTAAGACATCAAATTTAAATTTTTTTAAGTGAAGTGAAACCTTTCTGGCTTTCTTTAATGAATGCTATAGAACAGACAACAATGTGATAGTCTTATAATGAAATAAATTTATGTATATTCACTATCTTCTCTTAGGGATTATGATATATAATAATAAACTAAAATATATAACATAAATGTGCCTATTTTATGTTATATGTAGAATCACAATTGAAGACTGTTATCTATACCCTATAGTACACAAAATTTACTGATTAAAAATTATATTTAGATGAATCAAAATTTTAAATCTTGAAAATAATCTTATTATCAATTTATGAGAAAAGAGCTATAGTATTATCATTTGAATAAATATTCTAAGTATTTGAAAATATGTTTCATAAGTACAAATAAAAATTCTAAATATAATAATTTTACTAAAAGCAAATGATGTGGGGTAGCATGATTTGCGAATCGCTTGGTATAACAACATGTGTCATATATATTGTATAGGAATAGGAGCTTGGTTGTAACAACAGAAAATCTTATTAATAATATTAACCTATTATATTGTAAACATTAAAATCTTCACAATTGACTTCCAAACCACATTTGGTTAAAAATTAATTTATTAAATAACTTATAATAACAAATAACAATTTAGAACTGTAGTTAAGAAATGTTGAATACAATCGAATCCAATTCTGTGGTACAATTTATAATTGTGCGTTTAAAATAAAAATAAACAATATAATTATAATCATAATATGTGTAACAGCATTGATTTTAGAAAATACTAAAATCAATGGTAATAGATTAAGTGCTTTTATGTTTAAGTGCATAACATAATCTTATTATAGTTATTATAGATTATAATTAATATGGCTAGCTTATAATCTTATAGTTATATTATAGTAGCTACTACATATATTATATATAATATAAAACCCTTTTAAATAAATTGTCAGTTAAAGCGATAGCACAATTCTCTGCATCAGTGTGGACGCCTACAGTGACGGCAATTCTATAGTCCATGTGTTCAGGTAGGCGATTGTATGTTGAGTGATAATTTATTAATTATTATACTATAAATAATTATATCTCAATTATGTTACCTATAGGCTATAACATAATTTATAAAAAAAACAATACTACACACAAGTTTTTAAATATATCATTTCCGGAAGAAATTTATAGAAATGTTATTTATATTTATTCAACTAGTAAATTAATAATTATAATTACAATAATACCTGCAGCATATGTGGATTTCGGTTCTTGCTATTTTAGATTATGGGTATCTAGTAAAAATGCTCCGATTTTCCAATTGGGAATTTTTATGCATTTTTTTGGTGTAGCTTATAAACAAATGACCATAAATACTTTAAATTTCCCACATTAACCATGTTAATATGATTTTTTTCTATGCGACTATACTTGATAACATTTTGACTCTTTTAAAGCTACCTATTCATAATAATAAGACATTATTATTTATTGATGTATTTTAGATTTTGAGTGGAACGATGAATGTATTGGTTTTACAATGATGTGTGCAGGGGCGGATTGGGCCACCGGGAATTCGGGAGTTTTCCCGGTGGGCCGCTTATTTTCAAATAACTATGTATTCTTAAATTCCTATTAGGTACCAGCCCAGTAAATTTGCATTTTTTTTCCGATTTTTCAAAATAAGATAATACGAATTGGATTGCGGACAGTATGCAATAGTAGGTATATCAGGTAGGCAATCTACCTACGGTGGATTGCTGACACAACGATGAGAGACAGAAAGCAAAAATATAGTATTTTTTGATTTGATTTGAGTACGATTGAGCATAGACCTTTTTAGCAACACGATTGAGCATAGAATATTTTATGCGATGTTGCCACGTTCACGTTGCCAACATTTTGTAATTTATTAAAATTACAATCCGCTAAAGAAATAAAAAAAATTGAATTTAATATTCAAGCCTACAACCAGTATTTAAATCGTAAGAATACGGAATCTTTATTAATATATTTAAGCCAACTTGGAAACAGATACCAAGGTATATCAATTTAATTTATTATTATTTAATTATTAGCAAAAAGATTTTTATACTGTAGGTACTATAATGTGACTACTATTGAGACTGTTATTGATTTATAAATATTTTCATTTTATTATTTTCATTAATTAAATAAATATTTTTGTATAATTCAGTTCAATATTGAAAATGTCAACGTTGCAGAGTTTTTTATGCTCAATCGTGTTGGTTTTCTTTTGTATTTCAATTTCCTTTGATACGCCGACAATGTATGCTCAATCGTGTTGCAAAAAAGGTGTTTTATGCTCAATCGTGTCTCAGCCGGGCGAATAACCCAAAATTGAATGGCGGACAATTTCCCCCCGGACATTTTCCCCCCGACTGTTTTTGGCGTAGTAGGACATTTCCCCCCCAATATATATTCGATGCGGACATTTTCCCCCCATTTTTTTTTTAAGTTTATTATTTATTATTTAATGAGAAATTATTTTTTTTCAGTAAAATATAATTTTTTTTATAAATATAATCAATTATACTATAATTACCTATTATAGTAGATATATATTTTTGATCAATTCAACTACTTAAAACAATAAAATAATAGTAATATTATATTTAAAAGATTGTCTAAATAAAAAATAATAGTACTAGCATACTGTATTATTCGCTAGTAACATTGAAATCATGTTTGTCATTATGGCGATCTTCACCAATATTTCCTCCTTATTTATGGAATGCACATAATGCTACAAAGAAAAACAGGTAGAACAAATAATATAAGTGAAGGTTTCAATAACAAATTTAAAACTTTGGTTAGAACTCTGCATCCAAATATTTGGATGTTCATTGAAGCACTACAAAAGTCAAATTCAATGGCAATTAATAAACTATTAAGAATTAAAACAGGCACGGTTTTTTTAACAAAAAAAAAAATAAACATGAAAGACGATTACAAAATATGTGCTTAGATATAAAAAAAGAATCAGAAATTAAATGTTTTTTACAAAATATATCATTTTTATGTCGAAATTTTTAACCTATTTTACTTATATACAATTTTTTTATGTCTTATTATATTTATGAAAAAAAAAATGAAATTTTTAACTTATTTTACTTATACCTATGTGCAATTACTTTACGTTTTTATTATATTTATGAAAAAATGGGGGGAAAATGTCCGCATCGGAACATTTTTCGGGGGGAAAATGTCCTACTACGCCAAAAACAGTCTGGGGGAAAATGTCCGGGGGGAAATTGTCCGGATACCCCCAAAATTAACTTGAGTAAAGCATATATCATTTGGGCGAGAAATTAACGGATCGTTTAGGCGAATTTATAAATTATTGAATAATAGGGAAGTAACATTACGTAGGTATAACAATAATTTTTATAATATTTTTATAATATTATTATTATATCGTTTCGGCTGGTTGGTGAATACAGATAGTGAACTATAATTTGTTAGATTGTACTAAGACGGAGACAAAACATTTTACTCAATATTATATTACATAAAAATACTAAAGGAAAACAAGTCTATACAATTTTTCTGGTTGTTTAGAATTTAAGGACCTACATAATGTTATTATGAATAAACCACAGTAAAACATTTTTTTAGAAAATAAAAAGATACACATACATTTTGCATGTTGATTCTGTATTTCTGTTAATTTATACCTATCAGGTATATTAAGTGGAAGTAAATTATAAGCTTTTATTTACGTCTAAAAACGCATTATTAAATATTATTGAATATGTAATAAAATAACCTTTCTTATTGAATACAAAAATCGTAACATTAGTAATTTAAATTATTCACTTTTACTGTGTTATATATAAGTACTTGGAGTTTGGACTATTATAAATGTGTAAACATAAACTATTCAAAAATAAAAATAAATTTGATATCGATGTATATACACTACAAATAAAGTTATATAAATTTCATATCTCGCCAAACGTGTAGTTATGTTAAAATAGTAATACATAATAAATATTATGTTGGCTACAATTGAATATTTGGTAAATTGGTAAGTGGGCTGGTATACTTTGTATTTTCCCGGGCCAAAATCTCTCCCCAATCCGCCCCTGGATGTGTGTGTGTTTTTTTTGTTTACTTTTTATTTTATTTGTGCCTGTAGTGTAGTGTGTACCTACGAGATAAGAAATCGAAATAATGCTTCTATTTTCAACTTCAGTATTTTGTTCTATTGGAAAGTGAATATGGTTGGTGCATCGGGGAGTTCAACATTTAAAATTCCCAGTAATTTTCAAAAGCGCCAAGAAAAACAAAAGAAAAACGGGAATTTTTACGCAAAATCGAGTTTGGTTTTTGGTGTAACTAAAACAAATGACCGTAGATAGGTACATGAAATTTTCACTGGTTGTTTATATTTGCATTTTCTATACACGATAACATTTTCAAAATATTTTGATTTATTTTGAACTGTTTAGGGACATTTTCAGTTTCCAATTTTATTAGTTTTTTTTTATGAATATCAATAGAATTTTATTTGTTGGGTAAAAATATTTGAAAATTTAATAGAAGGCTCCTAGTATATTGTTTCAAAGGCAGATGAAAAATATTAAAAATCCTTAGTCACAACTCACAGATTTTTTTAAAGTTTAAATATTGACAAATTACGTAAAAATGACGAAAATTATTATTAATTATTTTGAGCTAGAAATTGATAAAATTTTTTTTATTTACATCTAAGATTTGAAAATGTAATACAAGATTCCTCATAAGCTGGTCTATCTTTATGAAGAAAAAAAAAAGGTCTATAAGAAGGTCTATACATGAAAATTTCACTGAATGTTTAAATTAGCATTTTCTATACACCATACAATTTTGGAAATATTTTGACTCTTGTTGAGCTGTTTACGGACATTTACAGTTTTCAATTTTTTATTTTTTTTTCCATAAATATCAATAAAGTTTTATCTGTTCAAGTTTGGACGATTTTGGTTTTTGTTGTAATTTAAAAATATTATTCTAACCTAACCTAACCTTAGTATAAGGAATAAGAAGTACCTATGCTCAATGATAAGACTGTGCATATTTTTTTTATTACCATTGGTTTGTATTTAATATATCTTAAACCTAGATGACTGACATTGACATATCGTCTCCGCTCAGAATCGTTTTTCTGATACAAATACAATGATATTATATCATTGAATTCAAATTTAATACCATCCATTATACAGTGACCCACTTGTAACCTACTGCGGACTGCAGTACAGCAGAGCACATTTTTTAAAGTTTATTTTCAGTTATTGTCGATACTCGATATATTTTTGCTAGATCAAAAATTTAAAATTGTGATACAAGGTTCCTTATAAGTTATTTATAGTGAAATCCAAAAAAAAAGTTGAGCTTAAATCTATAATTTATTTTCTGGTTGGCTGAAGTTAGAATTTTTAACGGAATTTGTCAAAATTACGAAAATCTATAAATTATTTTTCAGTTAATAATTTATAAAAACTTTTATTTTCATAGCTAACATTTTAACAGTGGCGGCTATCCTTAAAAATATAGGTGTAGTGAAACATAAGAAGTAACCACCCACCCTCAACAATAATCATCCATATAACATCCCATCTACTGAATAGTTTAATCAACATGTAAAAAAAAAAAATTAGGATCCTCTCAATTTTACTATATATAAATGGCCTAACATCATATTACCTCGTGACTATTTTTGCAATAAGAACTTTGGACTTTTCAAATATTGAATACATTAGGTAAATACCAAACATAGTTATCTTTACCCAAAACATAAAATAACATTCAACTAAACTTAAATATAATTATATATGTATTTACTTTTTTGAATGATCTAAGTACCTATTAAATAAAAGAGCACCTTCACATCACTCAGCAACACACACACACTCATACATATACCTACGACTTTTGTACACTTTATAATTTCTGAAAATACACTATTATTTCATTCACTGTTGAAATTGACTTCAACTTAATGGTTTTAAATAATTCAAACCATTATCTTTTGGATCGCTGAATATAAAATATATATAAATATATAATACCTATATAAAATATTTTAAAACTCATATAAAAAATCTTTTTACTCTTAAATTAATGACAGAAATATTTTTCCGAACTACATATAGAATATACAAATATTAAAAAATAAATCAACAAAAATAATATGTTTTTCTTTATTTCCAAGTGTGTAATAAATATATTATTTCTAATCATCTATAACAGAACACGTTCAAAAAACAAAAAAATAATATTTTAATTGAAATTTCCAATTCAGAACCCTATGTATAGAAAATGCTAATATAAACACTCAGTGAAATTTTCATGTATCTACAGTTATTCGTTTTTGAATTACAACAAAATAAGGAAATCGCTACATGAGAAATCGAATGAATATCCAATGTTGTAAAAATTTGAATTTCAAAAGCTCCGAAAAATGTAATTTGACTCTCTTAAAGATCTTTTTTTTTCTTCATAAAGATAGACCAACTTATGAGGAATCTTGTATTACATTCTCAAATCTTAGATGTAAATAGAAAATTTTTTATCAATTTCTAACTCTAAATAATTTTCACATTTTCGTCATTTTTACGTATTTTGTCAATATAAAATATTTAAACTTTAAATCCTTATAAACAAAAAGTTGTGACTGGATTTTTAATATTTTTCAAATTTCTCTGTAACAAAATTATTAATATTAGGAGCCTTGTATTAAATTTTCAAGATTTTTTACACAACACATACAATTTTATTGACATTCATAGAAATAAAAACTAAAAAAAACTGAAACTGAAAATGTCAGTAAACAGGTCGAAAAAAATCAAATTTTTTTGAACATTTTATCGTTTATAAAAAATGCTAATATAAACAACCAGTGATAATTTCATATATCAACGGTCATTTGTTTTAAAGTTACACCAAAAACCAAAATCGATTTTGTCGAAAACTGATTTTGCGTAAAAATCCAGCTAGTAATCCTTAATTTTTTTATTAAAATTAATAAATAACACATCTCGACATCTAGTACCTACAATAAATATAGTTACTATAAATTAATAATTATACTATTAAAATATTTCTAAATATTATTCTGTATTTTTCTCATACAAACAATTACACAGAAACCCCCTCACTCCCACTTATTAAAGGTGTAGCGGCGCTACACGTAACACGTCTACTCTAGGATAGCTGCCACTGCATTTTAAAATGTAATAGATGATTCCTCATAAGTTTTTCTAGTTACGTTAAAGAAAAAAAAAACTCACCTGAAAGTTACACAATTTATAGCTATGAAATATTTTTGATTTTTATTAATTATTAAATTTGATTATTTATACAAGTACCTATGTTTAGGCACACAGTCGGTGGCGGAATTAGAGTTCAAATCTTGAGAGCGTTTTAATTTTATTATGAATTGCTCACATTTGGCTCTGCCCCCCCCCTTCCCCCTATATTTCATATTACTAATTTAAATATTAGTAATATTCACAATTTGTTGGTAAACAACAATTTTATTGTTAATATGCACATATTTATGCTTTCAAAAATTTAAAAATTTGCAAACAACGAAATATCTTAAAAAAAATGTCAAAATATATTATTTATGTTAATAAAAAATACAATTGAAATTTTCAGTATACTTCTGCTTGCATAATAATATGTCAATATGTGTACGTACAAATTATTTTTTTTATATTAAATAAATGAAAAATTTATAGAATATGTAAAATGTAATATTAATTTTAGAACGAGTACCAATATGAAGTTACAAAGTGTGATTTTATATTTTCAAATCAAAACCTGACTGAATCTGACATGACATGATCAGTGGCGTATTTCCGGGGGGGGGGAGATCATGGGGATCCATACCCCCCCCCCTAGTCCGTACATAATATGTAAATATTTTCAGAGTCTCAATTTAAGGCCTCTAACTTTAAAGGCGGGGCTACTGGATAAAATCATAATAATATATGCATATCCCTCCCCCCCCAAGACAAAAACCTAAATACGCTTATACGCCACTGGACATGATAACAATATTGACAAACAGTCGACGACACCATGGAATACATAGATATGACACTACGACAGCTCAGCTACAGCTGCTGCAATTAACTGTTAACATTACTACGTTTCGTTTCAACATTGCCAAAGTGCCAGTTTGCCTTTATGCGTTCTGCCCCTTTTGTGTGCCACATACTCAGGAAACCTGTGTACTTCCATATCGGTACCAATTTTCACTGTTAGTTTTAGTTTGGATCCGTTTTTCCGAATAGTCAGTCCTCAATCCGATCCTTGACTGTCATGGACTTTTTGGAAAATCTGTCTCGACAACTGGAGGACATCCGGCTGGATGGAACAAACGTGAGAGCTGAATTCCCCTGTCCGCGGTCGGTCTTGCGATATCTCAACGACCAAGAATCCATGAAGTAATTTAATAAATGGTTTTAAACAGCTTATAAAGCTATATTATAATGTACAAATTTTATAATTGATGTTTCAACTTTTTCAAGTGAATGTTTGCTTATAAAGATTTATCACCTATAGAGTGTAATAACATTGGTTAAGTGTCTAACTCTAAATGTTAGTTTAATATTGATATACATCAAGTAAATAGTAAAACTGTGTTACCTATATTTGTTTTTTATAAAAATTTAAAAACCAAATTTTTTTTTGCACAGTGATCCCAATAATTTAACAAATACATCAAACTTAGAAAATGGTATAGATAATGAAGGTGCACCTGAAAATCAATCCAGAATACGGACAAGGAAACGTTTACAAAGGAGACAGAAACAAAAGATAAAATCTTTATTTGATAAACATGATATTAATCCCAATGAACAAAATCGATCAACTACAAATACTATAGAGTATGTATACAAATAATAACAATAACACGTAATAGTTTATTAAAAATATAGATTTTTCCATATTTCTTTGAAGGCCATTATCGAATCATAAAGATTTTTATCATGATTATATGCAGTTAGATGATGTGAAAAAAGGTTTAGAAAGTGGTGAACTTTTTGAAGGAAATATACGTATTAGTCAAAAATGTCACACAGAAGCATATGTTCCTTCACCGGTAAGAAATCTTTGTGAAATGTTTGTTTATAATATTCTACTTATAATATTTTATATTTTATAGGATAAATCAAAGGATATATTAATAAATGGTATTAGATCACGGAATAGAGCACTAGATGGTGATAAAGTTGTCGTAAAAATACTGGACAAATCTCACTGGAGGGTATTTCATTGGACATTTTTAAAACATAATAACCCACTCTAGTCAAAACAGTATCACCTTAATGTTAACACTTTAATCTGTTTATCATAGAACCCAGATACAGAAGATTGTCAACGAACTGGCTTGGTGGTTTACATAACAAGTTCCAAAGAGAATCGTATCGTAGTAGGATCCTTGATAGTTGATAGAGGTGTTATTCATCGATATAGCACATTAATTCCCAGAGACTGTCGAATTCCCAGATTACTTGTAGACACTTCAATTTGGCCGTTTCCTATTGATTTGAGGGATGGAACCAAGGAATCAAAAGAATTGTTTTATGCTGTCTTCTCACGCTGGGATAATTACAAGACTCCCTTTGGGTATTATAATACGCTTGGGCATCTAACATATTGCAGTATATAATGTATGCATTACTTTATTTTGTTTATATACTATGGTTTCTAGAGTATTGAAAGGAGTTTTGGGAGAATCAGGAAAAATAAATGCAGAAACTGAAGGTATACTGATTGCTCATGACATACAGGAACATCCATACCCAGATGATATAGATAAATATTTTCCGCCACCGTTTTCTGTGGAAGAAGAACTGAAACACAGGAAAGATTTCAGGTACCTTACTTCAGTGGCGCCGAAGTTTTTAAAATGTGGTCGGGCAATTTTAAAACTTCCCGGCCTCAATATCTTAATTATTTAATATAGAGGTACCCTAATATAAATTTATTCATAATCACGGTTTAAATTTACTCATGCTTATAATAAAGTTATGATGTAAATTAAATATGGCCGGCCGGCCACATTTTTCAAAAAAGAGGTCGGGCCATGGCCCGACGTCAGCATGGACTTCGGCGCCACTGCCTTACTTGATCGCATAAATGTAATCTAGGCATATATCTATGAATAATTGTTTTCTCATTCTATAGAAAACATTGCATTTTCTCCATTGATCCCCCTACCGCCAAAGATCTAGACGATGCGCTTTCCTGTGTACCGCTTCCAAACGGCAATTTTGAAATTGGTATTCACATATCTGATGTGACATATTTTGTCAAGCAAGGTACACCATTAGATGAAATTGCAGAAAAATTGGCCACTAGTGTTTATTTAATACAAAAAGTAAGTATTGAATGTAAATAATTTGTTCTTGCACTCAAGAGTTAATTCAAACCAAATTGTATTATTTATTAACAACAGGTATATCACATGTTACCTCCAGCTTTGACAATGATGGCATCATTACTACCAGGAACCGATAAACTTGCTGTCTCTATCACTTTGGAAATGACACCCGATGCTAATGTGATTAGTCACTCTTTTAGTCAATCTATTATACACTCTTGCGCTCAATTGCATTACGCACATGCTCAAGTATGTTTTTGTTGTTATATTATTATTAATACTGAAGTAGTGGCGTATCTAGGAGGAGGTGTGTGATATGTCATAACCTCTTCCCCCGGAGACCAAATTTTGTACACAATACAACATGTATATAATAATATGAATATAATATGTGTATCAGTGGCGTAGCCAGGGGAAGGGCCAAAATGTTAAGAAAATTTAAAAATTATTTTTATGGTCTATGATAGTCACTCAAAAAGTGATATATTACATTTAAAATATTTAAAAATTTACCTATAAGTATTAACACTTTTCTGCTATCTATCCGTGGTAGTACTTATTTAATGTATAAAAGTGTAAAAGTTGATCAGCCCCTCCCCACGATTAAGAATTCTGGCTACGCCACTGATGTGTATATATACTGAATGTCTATTGAACATTTTATATCCCCCCTTGAAAAAATTCTAGATACTCTACTGTACGGAAGTAATCAACTTTAGGCATTGGTATTAACTACCAAAGCTATTTAAATTATAGTATATTAGTAGTGTATTATATACAATTAATAATTTAAGAACCTGTATGTTTTAGATATTCTTAGAAAATCCTGATAAAAAAGATTGGGATGAATCTGAGTTTCCTACTGTGTATAATGGTTATACAGTCAGTGACTGTGCAACAGCCGTTAGCCATTTACATAAACTTGCGGCAGTGATGCGAGAGAGGCGTTTTGGCTCTGGAGCTCTGGCGATCAACCAACCCAAGTTGTCTTTTGAAATAGACAGAGCTACATGCGAGCCACTGTCATATTCGTTGTATATACTCCACGAGAGTAATTGGTTTGTCAATAGTACTCTTATTTTTCCAATTGTTATGTTTGGAAAATTAATTGTATTCTCTTTAAATTACAGGTTAATAGAAGAATTTATGCTTCTTGCCAATACAATGGTCGCTGAACATTTGAAAACTCACTTCCCAACCACAGCTATGCTCAGAAATCATCACGCACCAGATGTTGCTCCTATGGAAAAAGCAGTGAAACTATTGAAAACACATGACATTGATATTGATTTTACTTCAGCTGGATCTATTCATAAGTCTAAAGCTGTCTATTGTCAAGGTGAAAATTCAAAGAATTCTCATTGGGATATTATTATTAACAACATTCTATCAAAACCGATGGTTGTAAGTAAAAAAAAATTTCAATTATACATATTAAAATGTACAAAAAATGTTGAAAACATTGTTCTGTTTTGTAGCGTGCCGAATACTGTGTTATTGATCCAAACAGACTTATGTCTCATTTTGCACTCAACGTACCATATTATACACATTTTACCTCTCCCATTCGTAGGTATCCAGACATAGTCGTGCACCGTATGCTCATATCTTGGTTAACAAACAAGCCAATCAAGGAATACGAAGACCCAAAAGTCATTGACAAGTAATGTTTATTTTGATGCACTGCATTGCCGATAACCAACCAATCATATTTCATTATAAATTTAGGATAGCCATCAATAGCAACGACAAAAAGAATAACGCAAAGAAAGCGTCAGAAGCTAGTGCAGATATTTATGCTGCGTGTTTGATCGGTAAACTGGGAGGCCTACAGGTGGATGCAGCTATAATGGAAATAAAAGAAAACTATTTTGAAGCCACAGTCCTCTCAATGAACATGAACGTCAGAGTTTACGTGAATATTGTGAGTGTAATTGTCGCCTAAACAAGTTATCTTATATTAATTTACCATCAGCTGATAAAATACTAAAGTTGATTTATATTTGTTTCCAGTCTCACAACAACCCAGACTTGGTACACAAAGCCTGTAAATTCTTTATCTTTGACAATAAACCCACGTTAGTTGTCTGGTGGGATAACAAAGGTGAAAACAAGCAAACCCTTCAACTATTTGACAAAGTGAAATTGAAGCTCTTGAAAAGAGAGAATTGTTTGAAATTAAGAGCCATTTTGATCAGAGACGAATAGACTTTTATTTACTGTGATTCAATACATAACGTATTTAGTATGTAATATGTATTTGAATTAATACTTTTTTTTTTTTATTATTATCGTTTTCAATTTTTAATGATAAGAAATGTTGTTTATTATTATAATTTTTATCAATAAATACATTTATAATTTTAGACTTCCAAGTGTAAGGTCAATCAATAACATGAATATAATATAATATTAACACACATTTTACGATGGGATAAAGTACAGAGTTAATTAATTTATATATTTTATTTTTATTAAGTTGAATAACATTTAAAATAGCATAGGTTATTTTAGAGTATATATGTCATATAACTTAAAATATGTGATATAATAATATAATATATATATAAATATATATTACATAATAATTAATATATTATATAAATATATTGAAGTTAAAAAAAAAAAAAACAAACAAATATCTTACACAAAAGTTTATACAAATAATAATATAATAATAATAAAGACATAAAACAATTCACCATAGTATTATAGTTTTCTAATTTTGACCCGAAACCGCATTTGTATGGTTATAATTTACAAGTCTTCTACCCACTAAATATTTATCATTTTTAATGTGTTCGTAGAGTCTTTTGAATTGACGCACTTGCATCATCATCCCCTTAACAATGGCCATAGTGAGCATAAGTGTTGGATATATTCTCCTAGCGATCAGCAGTCGTGTGCCATGATTTTTGACGATAAGTGGTATTACAGAGTATGCAATCACATAGGGTACCGCTAGGAACAAACTGAGAACGGCAATCACGGGTACAGCTAGGTCTTGCATCATTAACTTGAGATCCAAACGCATGAAGCCGTCTCTGTATGTACGTTCAATGGCTCGCCTTAGAGACCAATCGGGTCCCATAAGGGTTATGGCGCATGCAATTTTCATATATAAAACTCCCAGTGCCCAGTCTTGCCATGCCCAGAGTACAGGTGTCTGGTGCAAAGGCACTCGGAACGGTACTACCATAACGAGCTCCAAGAGTAGACCAAATAAAAACGGTATTATACCGAGTAGCACGATAAAAGCGACCATTGCTTTTGAACTAATTTTTAGCCAAAACTTTAATCGATTGATGACAACAGTACGTCCTTCTGGCAGCCATCCCGCAATAAAACAAACAGCACGTACTGATAACCAACATATATATGTGCCACAAGCTGCAGTATACAGTTCATGTATGTTGGGCAACTGAGATGGTTCTGGCGTAGACGGCAGTAATGCTGGCCAAAATGACATGGCTAAACGACCCAACCATACAGGTATTGTGATGATCGACAAACTGATTACGACTACAGATAGTGCTACTAGGACGAGTAAGGCGATCAGGCGTATAGCAAAATTAGTGGGTCGAGTGTAAGGTCGAAAACCTACAGGTCCACCACGTCTTAACAACCCCTCGTGAGCTGCTCCTAAATCAGCTGCGGGCGGATGTATTGGCGCCACGACGGGAGGTAGTTCTTCCCCATCACCAAGTAGATATGACTTTATTCCAAGAAAATGTGAGACAACAAGACACCAGAAACGAATGCCCATTTTCAGCCAGTTACGAGTGTGTGTTTGTTCCAGTAGGGCTGGTAATACAACCTGGAGAAGTAATAGCTCCATGGACAATTCATTAACGGAATCGCTGTGTAAAGTTACATTATATGGCAAAAATGTTGGCCAAATAAATTTCAGAATTCGTATCGGCAGCCATACAACAAGAAATACAGCCGTACCAAATATCATAGCTGACGCAATGAGCCTTCGCCCATGTTGCACCATGCCTTGTTGTATTAGTTCCTAAAAAAAATTAAATACATGAGCATTGAGTAATTGTTTAATATTTACATGTATAATATAATACTTGAATAGGGCTAAAATCTGGATCGTTTAGATTTCGCAAGAACCATAATACACCAGGTCGGACAACTTCTCGAAGGAGTAGTACAAATGAAGCAAAATAATACACATACACCATTCCAACCAGCCAATGGATGAACATGGAGGTACCAGGAGCCAAACGGAAACTTGCTAGCCTATCTTTGAAACTTGTGTCAAACATTGACAACGAACATATGTCCAACCACCAACCGCATACTAAAGGCAGTACACCAATTTCAACAACTGATAATAAGGATACCTATTAAAGACAAACAAATAAAATATGATACAATAAACAAATATTTAAAAGTGTTCAAATAACTGAAAAGTAGTTTAGTTTACTCACTTTTACAACAATATAGCTAAGTCCAATTATACGTTTGGATCGTCTAAATCCTATAATAGTTGCAAAGGTGTGCATGATCAACAAACACATACCAATGAGACAGTATCCGCATAGTGTGGTGACCAAACCTTCAAAATGTGAAGCAGCTACCTTATCTTGTAAAGCCATTGCAGTAATTGCCAGATTACCCATTTGGTATGGACAAAATGCAAACACCAATATAAATAATGCATTCATAGATACCACCCAAAACACATGTTCTAAAAACACCAATGAACCATCTAATCCTAAAAGTCGTTCCCAAGTCAAATCTTCAGCAGCCCGATCTCCCCAATCTATTGGATTCCAATGTCCTTCATCTACTTGATTTCCATTTTCTTGACGAAGTTCTCCTTCAATCTATTAAGAATAATGTTAATATACCGTGTGTCCCAAAAATCAGGGGCCACTTTACTACTCATTACCATGTAAATATTTTTCAATTCTGTTTGCGGGACATTAAACTAGACTAATGGATCGTAAATTTCTTTGACTCACAATGTTTTTAACTCATATATCTTGCGCATGCGCAATAAAACTTACATTTTTTTAAATGGCAACCCGTAATTTTAATATCATATTCGGGTTCATCGATTTTTTTCAAGCCATTTTGATGTATCAACTTATGTCCTAAACCCAAAATTGACTAAACTAGAGCTAAGTAGAATTTAAATAATTTAAAAATTCAATTAAATTAATTTTTTTTCTAACTGTACACACTTATTTTTTTCTTCTAAGCACGGTGAAACAAACAAACAAACAATCAAAATTATTATTATTAAACTAATTAGGTACCTAACTATTTACTATTTATGAATTATTATCTTATTTTATTATTACGCATTATAAAATAACATAGTTTAAACATGTATTTTCAAGAAACAACATTTCTATTTTATTTTTTTTACCATTACTATACATTTTTATTTACAATTTAATTTACAGAAATTACAGACATAAACTATTCAATAAACTGTTCGAAAGTCCCTCCATCGTGTAAAGTGCATGCCTCAAATCGACGTAAACATTCAAGATTAGTTGCTGCCAGTATTTCGTTTTCGTTTACATGTTAATGCGTGTGTAATTTTATTCTTTAAATCTTGTATGTTGATTGGAGGATCAGCATACACATAATTTTTCAAGTGTCCCCACAAAAAAAAATCTAACGGTGTTAGATCTGGTGACCTTGGGGGCCACTCTACTGGTCCATGTGTTGCAATAAATGTTTAGCCAAATCTTACTGTCAAAAATTCTTGGACAATTCGGGCATTATGAGCAGGTGCCCCGTCTTGCTGATAATAAATGTTTCTACGTATATCTAATGGTAAATCATCAAGCAGTAATTGCAAGTCATCATGCAAAAAATCTAAGTATCTTCTTCCCGTTAAAGTTCCGTCATAGAAATGGGGCCCAAGTAACTTACCACCAATCAAACCAACCCATACATATTTTGTACCCCAACATGTTTGGAAGTTTGTAGGAACAGCCCAGTGAGGATTTTAATTCGACCAATAACGATTATTTTGCTTATTTAATATTCCATTATTAGTAAATTTACATTCATCAGTCCACAAAATATGATTAATTAATAATGGATCATCCTCAGACGTTACCATAAACCAAGAAATAAAATTTAATCTTTTTTCTGGGTCTGTTATGCGTAAATGTTGGACTAAGTCTGGTTTGTAAGGGTGTAGTTTATTTTTTTTTTAAATCTTATGAACTAAAGTTTTAGGTATGCCAACTTCATGTCCGACGTGCCTAACAGACGAACGTGGGTTAAGATGTACATACGCTAAAACATGATTTTCAATAACTTCATTAACATGTTGATTTACCCGTGGTTGTTGTTGAACAGCATTTGTTCTATTAAATGAACCAGTTTCAATCAATGACTTTTCAAGTTTTTGAACGTAAGTACGATTGGGGTGATACCGATCTGGATATTGCTGAGCGTACATTCTTGTTGCTTCTCGTGCGTTTCTGTTACATTTTCCGTAGATCAATAGTAACTGTACTCTTTCACTAGTATTCATGATTAATATTTTATTCTAACGAAATTCAAACTATAACTTTATAATACCTAAAGGTATTGACAATAGCGAACATAAAACGTCGAACTACTAAGACCGCAATGACATATGACTCTGATAATGAGTTCCATAATACCTAATATAAAAATAGCTAATGACATTTTAATAGGTACCTATAGGTAGATAACAAAACTAAAAACACCAGTGCTCATTATTATTTTAATAGATACTTAATTATAATTCTGATGGAAACAAAATTACACTTCTTCTTCTTTTTTGGTTTCGGCCAATTGAGACCATATGCAATTTCATAATGTATAATAATAAAATAAGATAATAATTCATAAATAGTAAATAGTTAATTAGTTTAATAATAATAATCTTGATTGTTTGTTTCACCGTGCTTAGAAGAAAAAAATAAGTACCTACGTACAGTTAGAAAAAAAATTAATTTAATTGAATTTTTAAATTATTTAAATTCTACTTAGCTCTAGTTTAGTCAATTTTTGGTTTAGGACATAAGTTGATACATCAAAATGGCTTGAAAAAAATCGATGAACCCGAATATGATATTAAAATTACGGGTTGCCATTTAAAAAAATGTAAGTTTTATTGCGCATGCGCAAGATATATGAGTTAAAAACATTGTGAGTCAAAGAAATTTACGATCCATTAGTCTAGTTTAATGTCCCGCAAACAGAATTGAAAAATATTTACATGGTAATGAGTAGTAAAGTGGCCCCTGATTTTTGGGACATACGGTATAGCCGTTTATATTTACCACAAGATATCTTACCTCTTCTACAGGATTTTCTTCAGGAATGGGAGGTAACAGTACATTAAGTTGTTGTTGGTTATTAGGTTCATCTCTTTCTAACCAATCTGGACCACCACCATGTAATATTTGTTCACGTAGCCAAATTAATCCAATAAATGCAAACAATGTGCAAGTCACAACAAAACAGCCATGAAATATATCCCCAGAAATGTTCTTTGATGACCACATATCAAGAGGCAATGACATCACCTATTTTTTTTTTTTGAATATTAGTAAAATAAAATACAGTTAATTTAATTTGATAATTAAATCTATTATATCACTTACAGCATCAAAAGAACCATTAAACAGGCTTCGGTAAATCCTACATGCTGTAAAAGGCACAACGCATAGCCAAGCCAGTCCAACCAAAGTAAAATGCAACCAATATTTTATTCCAGTCAAAACACTTGAAGTGATACCAGCAGCGACATCTTTAATAGGTAATCGTCGAGGCATGTCTGGAGCATAGATGGGGGTGAACGAAAATCGATAGCTACAGAGCTCACAATACTCTTTACGACTGTAACGCATCCATTGTACCAAGCACTCTTGATGTATATACTTAATGCTGCCTGTACATATGCAAGGATGAAACAGTGGCCGTTCTGGCATGCCTTCTGATCGGCACACCCTGCATATGTCCGCTCCTTGAGAAGGGTCGTCCATATTGTCCATCTTGCAGTAGCAGATGGAATACTATTCTATGAATCTAAAATGGAATAAAAAAATTAAATTAAAAAAAACAAATAATGACTAAATTGTACTACTAATTTTATAACTCAAATAAAATAATATTATATAACACCTAAATGATACTGAATAATGTTATCAGTACTTCTTTAACCAACAATTTTTTGATGGGTAATAGGTACATACACAAATCCCAATCATAATAAAGTAAAATAAACTGATAAAAACAAAAAAAAAAAACAATTAGTTAATTATGATGACTATCAATGAAGAAATCATTACAAAAAACTTATTATTATTATCTTGTAAATTAGCTATAAACTATGTTATTATATGATGATAGATACAATTCTTTAAGAATTTCTGATAAATTAAGCAGTTTAAAACTGAGACATAATAATAAATTAATACATTTAAATAAATCGATATACATACCATTTTTAATTTATTGTTATAGTGGTAAATGTAACAAAAAATAGGTATTTAGATAAAAAGAATTTCTATTACTGCCAAGAATATTTATTTTGGTATAAAATGCATATTTTTTCTTCTATGACAGTAAACTTAGAAAAAGTTAATACTCCATCAAATCCAACAGACTTAAATACTTGTATAAATTATAATGACTAACTTAGAGAAACCAATTCTTAAAAAGAATGGAAGAGTTGTAGATTTAGAGAAAAATAAAACAAAGTTATTACAGATAGTTACCTACTAAAACAAAAAATAAATATATATTATATACCCATTACCAGTACCAAGTATTTAAAAATATGGCAAATAACATTTTAAAAATGTAAGTTATGTTAATTGTTTTTGTTTAAGTAATTATGTTAAAGTAACATTGCACGAAGTTGGAAGAAAGTCACAACTAGTACAAGTAACTTATATAGATAAATGTATATAAAAACAAAGTATTTATGTATGGGTAGGTGTTAACATAAAATATATACTTATGTAATGATATTCAACAATTACTTACTGTTTAATAATAGTGTAAAAAAATGAATTATTATTTATAATATTTTTTAATAAAAAAAATAAAATACTTATTTCACAAATTTTTTTATTGCATATAAATTCTAACCTTATTTATTACATAACTAACATAATTAAAACAATATTAATATTCTTAAGTATTGACAATATTTTAAAACACACTAATTAGATTAAAGGTAGGTAAGTTACTGATTAGTCATTTTCTATCAATTAAATATTGTTATTTGTTGCATATAGATGACTATTATTTAATATCGATATATCAAGGAGTTTCATAAATATAATTCATATACCTAAATGAAAAAAAATGTATTAATGAACTTTTTGGTTTTCAGGAATTCTCTTGATTAAGTAACATGTTACATCAACAGGTGATTGGTACAAACTTATTAAGGTTGGATAAGTACTCAACAAATATAAAAATATCTAAGTCTTAAATGTGTCGTAAAATCTTAGAATATTGAAAAAACTATTCTACATTCAATATTATTTAATACTGTTATGCAGTTATAGCCCATTTGAATATTTGTTTTTATAGATAATTAAATTACAGTAGGTAAATAATAAGTTTGTTTTTGATACCAAGAAAATTGGTACAATTCTAGAACCAAGCGATTTAAATTTTTTTTTAAATTTTGTGTATGTAGTTGGTTATGAAAAAAATTATGGTGGCATCAGAAGTTTAAAAACAAAATTATCAAAAGCACATATACACCCGTCTTTGTCACTCATTTGCTGAGCTCGGACAATTAAAAATAAAAACATCCCTTCTGTAAAACCATCTTGGGTAGGTCAATGAGTTAAAATTTAAGATTACTATAAATTGACTGAAGTCCGTATTACACATTGCGCCACAATATTTTAATACTTTAATTTCACAAAATCAACATAATTAAATTTGCTAAAGGTCTCTTCAAAACTAGGTCCGACTGACAAATTTTGATGGGGCCTTCATTTTTTCATCAAAAACTACATAGGAATAAATTTAAAAAAATAGGAAACATCACAAGGTTACGCAAGATACCTAATGGTTTGACTAATATATTTTTATAAGCATTGTAAATGTAAATAAGTGCCCACCTAATAATTTCATAAATAATTATTGGTGCTAATGGTACCTTATAATATGTGTTAGTATACAATACGTCAATACCTATATAATATATATACCTAAATATAACATAAGATGTATTATATAAGTACTATATAGTTAATATTACGTATAAAAGCAGATTTGATTAAATACTTAGTATACTAAGTACCTATAAAAATAGGGTTATTATTGAATTTACAAAAAGTCTCACAAAAATCCTTTACTGTTTATGAATTTTATCAAAATAATACTCATATAGGGTTTGGACATTGATTTTTGGAGGGACTTTAGATTCATCCAAATTTCAAGATCTAGGTGTTCAATGTTTTTTTATACCAACATTTACCATCAAGGCTAAAACTTAACTAAAAATTATTTACAACTAGGTATATCGTTAAATCAAAGGATAATCTGGGAACTACATATTGTTGTTATATTAATGTTCCCATATATCCCTAATTATGCTCAAGATAACAAACTCATATTTTATGTAATAATTCAAATTGTTTATATATAGTTGAAAATTATTTAAACAGATAATAAATAACAATAGGTATTAATTTTGTTTATAGACATAAATTAAAATCAAATACAAAACAAAAATTTATTTTTCTTAGATAATGTATCATAATATTGATTTATGTGTCCTTATTTTTATCATTATTTATTTTCTAGATTATAGCCAAGATTAAAGTAATCTAGAAAATATTCTTAAAAACAACAGTCGCAAGTAGGTATAAATGTATAATGAATTCCTTCCTACGACTAACGGGAGTGGGAAATAATTGAAAACATGACAACGCTACAAAACAAATTTGTTCCATCAACCATCCCCCCTAACAAGTAAACTACACAAATCGAAAAAATTACATAATCGTACTTCATGATGATTATCAGCTCTCAACCAGACGTTTTCAGATGGGTAGTTGTCAAATGAATGTTTAGTAGACTTGTATCGAAATCAGAGAACTTGAGAAAACAAACGCAGCTCAAAATTCGGCATCTTTGGCGGAACGTAGTTACGACCCCCCCACCCTTCCCCCACCCACTCCAACAGGATCATCATACCAAAAACAACATAGAAACAGGGTTATAGAAGTCTGTCCAAATATCAAATCATAAATCTAGGGCCTGGGCTCTACAACTTCAGAAACTAACATACGGAGGCAAGTACTTACTTGTTTACAAGCTTCGCCACTCGGGCCGGCGAGAAGACGTTTGACGACGACGTAACGCCGTCACTCATATCCCGCGGAGACACCGTCGGAAGTCGCGGAGTGCGGCCCCGCGGTTGAAAGTACGGAAGCGTTTCCGGACAACGGTGGACGACGGAAACAAGGGGAAAAAAAAGAAAACAGAAATATAAATCTCGAAAACAACTACGCCAGAATCATCTGCATCTGCTGCGCACCACTACTGCTCGTATTTTCGGATCAATAAATTTATAGTATTTACTACCAACGTTATCAGGAACGTCACACGGACAGGACGGGTTGGGACGGACACCGCTTACCTGGTATAGGTATAACAGTAGCCGTGGTCGCAGCAGTTGTAGTGTCATAGAACATTATAAAATTGTTCTGTGATGGTAGTGTGCTAGGCGCTAGCATAAAATATAGATAAATATAATAATGCCGAGTGGCCGCCGCAGATGAACTTTAATGGAACTGAGTCGGGACAATTCATTAAACTTATGTCTATTTCTATAGTTGTATTGTTCTATGATAATATTATTATGATCTTGGCTTGGTTGGTAGAGACTAGAGAGAGTGATAAGTGTGGTATATAACGAGAACAAAATATATCGATGCTGATTGCTTATCTATCAAGTCGTCACCCTCGTAGATTGATAATAATGGTGATAGGCGAGTGTTGAATTCGTTACGTGCATAATAATATTTGTTATCTGCTTATACTCACTACCTATAATCACAAGTCATAACTTTGTACATTGTACAAATTGTACATCAGAAAGACTCTGACCAGTCTGACCTTTGTTTTTTCTTTGATTCGAACGTGTCGCTATTTCCGCGTTCCGTTTGCTCACATCAAATCTGGTCGCCGTACTCACTAATCTCTCACGCTACCTCCATAACGTCCAGATCTACGGCAACGATGGCGTCCAATCTGTTGAAAAATATTGTCAAATTGGATACCCGAGTGTCCGTGTCGCAAAACGTTTGCCGTGAGTACGAGACGATAACTCTAGTCAATAAAAAATAATTACAACTGTCAATAAGATTTGTAAACGTCGATTTTTGGGACTGTTTGTTGCAGTACCGATCAGATGTCTGTCAACAGCGTCTCCGCGGGTGAAGGACAAGACCGGCAAAAATATAGTGTTTGTTGATGGAGTGCGTACTCCGTTCTTATTATCGGGTACCGACTACGCTTCTTTAATGCCTCATCAATTGGCTAAAGAAGCTCTAATGTAAGTTGGTTTTGACATTTTTCATTTTAATTTCAATCAAATTATATGTTATTGTTTAAATAGTATTAGGTAGTAGTTCTGCTAGCAGCAATGTATGTAATAATATGTATTTCAAATTTAAATCAAAACATTTGATTATTTTACTTTAAACAAGCTTTTGGGTTTTTATTTAGGTCAGGTCAACTATAAATACAGGTACATTTAGTACTTCAATAACCATTTTTGTTTTTATAAATCTTAAATAGTGTTATGAATTATAGTAAGTCTAGAGCATTTTCCATTAATTTCAATTGTATAGGTTCTTATATAAGTATGAGTTCAAGGATTTTAAGCATTATATATATATTCCTATATTACCTATAATGTAACTGTTCTATAATTTGTAAAACTTTCAAGTTGGATTTTTATATAACATTTAGGTTAGTTGATTTAGTTAAGTTTATACAATATAAAGATATTATATAATATTATGATAGCTAGAAATCATGCTTATTCTTGTAATTATGGTTTGAAGATTTTTTTTATACATCAGGAAGTAAAATTTACTGAAGGTCAAGGTATTTTTATTGGGTAACAAACTTTTTAACTGGCATGTATACACGGTGTCTTTTTATTTAATTTTAAACTTACTTCATGACTTATAAGTTAGATTTATAAACATTACCTATCTAATGTAATTTGTTTTCCAATAAATCATTTGAGATATTTTGTTTTTAATTATATTAATAAATTAAATAAAACATAAACATGTTTTGTTGCAATATTAATCTAGGAATGTGTTTAGAGATATAGGTAATGTTTATACTTTAAAACCATCTAAATTTCATCAAAATCTTCACACATTAATATAAATTATAAAGTAAATAATAATAATATTATCAATCAATTTATTGAAAAATTTATATCTTATTACAATAACTAACATTAAATCTTGATGTTGAATTGCATTGCATTTTATGAAAATATAAGGAACTTGAGTAACTTTAGTAGTTGGTTGAATAAAACATTATATTGCAAATACATATTAAGTATTACCAACTATTAATCAAAGAAAAAAGTCCCTGGAAAAATGAGATTTGGGGAAGCTGAAGACCTTCTATTATAATATTAAATATGCTAAAAAAAAATTTAGAAAGTGTTGAAGAGGGCTGTTGAAATTGTTGAAGAGGCTTGGCTCCTAAATCCCTCTTTTTGCCCATATGGGTACCTACTTAAGATTTTATGAGGCTCTTTGTGACAAAACTGTGGTAAATCTAATTGACTTCTAGATTGTAAGAAGAAATGAAAATTAGTAGATCCGTATTTCTTTATCACGGTGTTAGTATATCACGTTATTTTTTATTTTTTAACCCAGTATATTATGTGGCAGTATTATTAAAAATTAAGTTGTTTTAATTCATGATAGCATTGATTTTAAAATCAATGACAATAGCTTAAAAATTCCAAAAAAACATGCAATAGTGTCCATATTAATCAATATATATTTGAATTAGTAAACCTGTATATAAATTATTTATATTATGTTTATGTACTTCCTTATTTTTGAGTTTCTATTTCCAAAATTGTAATAGGATTTATGCATTTTTCAAAAATAATATAAATATGTAGCTGCATATATTATGTAATCATATTTTCAAAATTTTGATTTCATAATTTTTGCATGCATATTTCGATAATTTTTAATGCAACAAGTCCCGAACTCTAATCATTACTTTATTTTAACTTAAGTGGATACTCTAGAGCAGGGGTCTCCAAACTTTTTTATTCAAGGGCCACAAAAAAAATCAAATGCTCTTAGCGGGTCAAAAGTTTACTAACACATACAATTTTTAACTTTATGATAATATAGGTACCTATATAAATAATATGTTTACTTTATATTTTTGTATAGAATATTGTTTACTTTACAATATACTTAAATAAAAATAAATAGGTATAAATATAATATTATATAATATAAATACATTTTTGAAATAATTTTTTTATCTATATTTACCTATGCGTCCTATGCGGGCCACGGGCCGGTTATAACTTGTTTGCGGGCCGTAGTTTGGAGACACCTGCTCTAGAGTACTGAAAAATATTTAGAATTTTTAAAAAATTGTATTGTTTCAATATTCTTATTAGGTATTTTTAATGATTATAATTTTAAAGATAAGATAATATGAATACAATGCTCTGCCAAGCAAACATTTTAATATTAAGATACCTTTTTTTTTTTCAAATCAAATTATTTGGATTAAATTGTTATAAATATCATAAAACATAATTACAGAAGTAGAGCTTGCCCGGCTTGGGACTTATTAGTTATTACCCTAATAACCTCTAAATTTGAATGCATTTATGCCAGTGGTGGTCAAATGGTTTTGTTATAGTGGGGGGGGGGGGGGGGATGTTGCTTATTTTTTAACATACCCTGTTAGATCATTAAAAATATATTTTATTGTTAATGTTTTACACTTATATATAAGTTTCTTTAAATATTGAAAAAAAGTCATGAGATCTATTATTTTGTTTGTTTCTATAAACCTATTAAAGTGCATAAAAGAGTTTAAATTAATTAATTTTATTTTAAATTAGTGGTTTAATGAGGAAAACAAATGTACCTCGTGAAGTAGTTGAGTACATTGTGTACGGTACAGTAATACAAGAAGTAAAAACTAGCAATATTGGACGAGAAGCTGCCCTTGCTGCTGGATTCCCAAACTCAGTTCCAGCTCACACTGTTACAATGGCATGTATCAGTTCAAATCAAGGTATTACAACTGGTATTGGACTGATTGCTGCTGGTGCATACGATGTAATTGTAGCTGGTGGTGTTGAATTCATGTCTGATGTTCCAATTAGGCATTCTCGTAAAATGAGAAGTCTGCTTTTGAGGGCAAACAAAGCTAAAACGCCATTAGACAAATTGAAACTTCTCTCAACATTTAGACCAGATTTTTTACTCCCGGAGGCATGTTAATAATCCTTTGTATTCAAAATTAAAGCTAACATAGTTTATATGCATTTAGTTGCCTGCTGTCGCCGAATTTAGCTCTGGTGAGACCATGGGCTTCTCTGCAGATAGATTGGCTGCTTCGTTCAAAGTCTCTCGAGAAGAACAAGATCAATATGCTGTCAGATCACACACTATGGCTAAAGAAGCTCAAGACAATGGATATTTGACTGATATAGTGCCTTTCAGACGTATGCATTATATTATTTTTTTTTGGTTTTATTTATTATAAATATTTATTTTGTTTAGTACCAAATTCGTCCAAAGTAATTGAAAAAGATAATGGAATTAGAGTCTCTCCTATTGACAAATTAGCAAAATTGAAAGCAGCTTTTGTTAAACCACATGGTACAGTAACTGCTGCAAATTCATCATTTTTGGTAAGCTGAACATTCAATATAATAACACATTTAGAACATTTTATTATAAAATGTATATAATTAATGTATTTTATTTTAATTATACATACCTAAGTATGTGTATTACCATGGAAAATTATGTTTTATCGTACAGTGAGTCCGCTTAATGTGATGATATTAGTTTAGGCCATTTTGATTATATTAACCAGTTGATTCCATAAAAAATTTTTTTTTCATTATAATATTTGGTTTGGAATTTTCATTTTTGAATCCAATAAATGATTGATTCAATAAACCAGTGATCACATTAAGCGGATCTCACTGTATTACCTAATTGTAAATTTATATTAATATAAAAAAAAGTTTTCTTTGCAAAATATAAGTAAATTTCAAGTACTTATATCACATAAGATTATTATATATTTTTTTACTCCTTAGACTGATGGTGCATCAGCTTGTCTCATAATGACTGAAGAAAAGGCCAAGCAATTAGGCCTTAAACCTAAGCTTTACTTAAGAGATTTTACTTATGTAGCTCAAGATCCCATTGATCAATTGTTGCTTGGACCAACATATGCAACACCCAAAGTATTAGAGAAAGCAGGTCTGAGTGTCAATGATATTGATGTGTGGGAAGTACATGAAGCTTTTGCTGTAAGTACTAACAATACAAATGTTTAGTGCATTAATTTATTTTTTTATTTTATTTGTTGCTGTATGTCAGGGACAAATTTTAGCAAATCTTAAAGCTATGGACAGTGACTGGTTTGCTCAGAAATACATGAATAGGAAAAGCAAAGTTGGAGTACCAGACTTGTCCAAATGGAACAAATGGGGAGGATCGTTGAGTATTGGTCATCCTTTTGCTGCAACTGGTAAATTTTTTTTAAATTCTTATTTTGGTAAATAATTTTTTTACTTATTAATTTTTATTATTATTTACAGGAGTACGCTTGACGGTGCACACTGCAAATAGGTTAGTGAGGGAAGATGGTCAATTTGGTTTGATTGCCGCTTGTGCTGCCGGTGGACAGGTAATTCAAATCTATTTTCAGTTTAGGTCCTAAACTAAATTCAATGGCGTAATATTATTAATTATTTGCATTGCCTATCAATAGTGTATAATAGTATAATACATGTACAAATAATTATTTAGTGAGAATTGTATATATTTCTTATGATGTGTTTTAGGGAGTTGGTATGATTGTTGAAAGACATCCAGATGCCACCGCTTTGTAAATGGCAATTTACACCTTGAATCGTGTGCAAGTTGTATGTGGTGAACTGGGAATAACATAAACTTAAATTAATTATGAATATTATAAAGTTTATTTATTAATAACTGTTATTATTCCACTTGGTCCTTTTTTCATTTTATGCTTTTTTTTTTTTATTTCAGTCTTAAAGACATATCCCATAATAGTTAGTATGTAATTTATTATTTACCTATTTGTAATTTGTTTTTGTTCAACAAATTTAATATATTTTAAATTTTTAACAATTATTCTATTTTACAAAATTGTTATATTTGCTTAATTCAAAATTGTTGAGAATAAAGTTTATTTTTATGATAATATATATGTTTCCTTATTATCCTGTAATTCAGTAGGTAGAAAACCTTTTAAGGTTATTTGTATAACCTTCCTATACATGCCTATTGCCTATAATATTATAGCTACAAACAAACTATATTAATTTAATTGGTAACATCATTGGCATTAATTATAAATACAAGGAGCAGTACCTATCAGTGCTATTGCCTATTGGGTAAAATTTAGTAAACTTTATGTGAAAAAATCAAATTATTTAAAATAAATTACAATGAATTGTATTATATCTTGAGCAAAACAAAAAAATACATACATGTGTAATAAAATATAAGAAAAACCATTTTAACATTCAAATTACTGTACATATAAATAAATTATATTAATTATATAATTATATTATTAAATGTATCAAATATACGTAGGTAAACATTTTTATTTTAAAAGTACATTGAAATATTTACTTTCAACGTAATAGAAAAGATTGACTATAATATGAACTAAAATTATTCTTTGGAGGATCATGCAATATTTACAAATCAACACTACAGAGACTTATATTTTTTTTTAAAAATGGTTCAACTTTTTCTGTTCATTGTATTACCAATATACGTATCTACCTATATTGCTTGTATATTTAAATAATTCTTTGCATAATAATTGTATACATATTATAAAGTGCTGAAATTCAGGCATACTGCAGAACCAGCATCTAGCAAAAAGTTTCGTACTATTAAACCACTAAAAAATAAATCGCTATTGCCTATTCAATAATCGAAAAAACGATATGATTTCTGCTCTATAAAGTTGTGTAATAAATGAAAATATTTTAGATTCTGAGTGGAACAATGAATGTATTGATTTTACAATGATGTGTGTGTTTTTTTTTTATTATTTTTACTTCTGTCATCACGGTCTGAGGCAGTAAAACTGCTTTGATTTTCTTCAACAGGATCTTGTTACTGGAAAGTGAATCTAGTTGGTGCATTCAGGAGTTCAAATTTTAAAATTCCCAATAGTTTTCACAAGCGCCGGGAAAAACAACATAAAAATTAAGGAAAAACGGGAATTTTTACGCAAAATCGGTTTCCCCAAAAATCGATTTTGGTTGTTGTTGTTACTCTAAAACAAATGAACGTATATACACACAATTTTCACTGGTTGTTTATGTTTCCATTTTCTATACATGATAAAATGTTAAAAATATTTTAATATGGTTTGAACTGTTTAGGGACATTTTCAATTTCCCATTTTATTAGTTTTTTTCTATGAATGTCAATAAAACTTTATTTGTTGAGTAAAAATACTTGAAAATTTAATACAAGGCTCCTAATATATTGTTGCACTGACATTTGAAAAATATTAAAAATCTTTAGTCGCCGATTTTTTTTATAAGCAATTAAAGTTCAAAAATTGAGAAAATACCATAATGGAAAAATCACGAAAATTAGCAAATTATTTTGAGTTAAAAATTCATAAAAAATTTTATTTTTACATCTAAGATTTGAAAATGTAATACAAGATTCCTCATAAGTTGGTCTATCTTTATGAAGAAAAAAAAAGGTCTATAAGAAGGTCAAATTACATTTTTATGACCATTTGAAATTCAAATTTTTACAACATTGGATATTCACTCGATTTCTCATGTAGCGATTTCCTTATTTTGTTGTAATTTAAAAATGAATAACTGTAGATACATGAAAATTTCACTGAATGTTTGTATTAGCATTTCCTATACACCATACAATTTTGAAAATATTTTGACCCTTTTTGAGCTGTTTACGGACATTTTCAGTTTTCAATTTTTTTAGTTTTTGTTTTCTATAAATTTCAATAAAGTTTTATCTGTTGGGGCAAAAAGTGTACAAGGCTTCCTGGCTCCTGATAAATTGTTACAATATCAGTTGAAAAATATTAAAAATACATAGGAACAATTTCTTTTTATAAGCATTTAAAGATCGAATTTTGACAAAATTTATCAAATTTAAAATTTAATACCTAATTATTTGTAGTTAAAAATGTATAAAACGTTACCTAAAATTTATAAAATTTTCAACTCTTATATCTAAGGGTTGAAAATGTAAAACAAGATTCTACGTAATTAGTTAATTCTGTTACCAAAAAATCTAAAAAATACATAAACAAATTTTATTTTTAGATATAGTCTTTTTAAGTTCAAATTTGGACGAAATTACATAATAAAAACCTAGAATAACTATTTTAGTTATTTTGTTGTGATTGTATAATATTATTCGTGGGTAGGTACTTGAAACTTCTAAAGTAGGTACACTATTATATATCTATGATAGTATCAGGGTTTGTTGTTGATGTATAACGCGTTACATGTGCCTACTGGATATTGTGATATGATTAATTTGGAATTTATTACATGTAAATTTTTTTGTAATACCATAGATAAGTACCTATGTAATATGTCTTATACCTAGACTGACATACTGTCTCTACTCAGAATCGTTTTTCTTATACAATGATATTATATCATTGAACTCAAATTTAATAGGTACCATCCATTATACAGTGACCCACTTGTAACCTACTGTACAGCAGAAGGACAAATCTTGCCCACATTTTTATTATTGGCAAAACTATGTTTTTTTTCTAGGAAACGGTTTATTTATTTTTTATAAAATTATAATTATATTTTATGGCTATAGCCTACGTTTTTATTGTCAATCATATTTATTTTCGTGATTCTATTCCTTACAAAGAATGTTATACACATTCCATTAATCAAGTTGTTCTGCTTATTAGTAGGCAGTTTTATTTATTTTTATTATAATTTTTCGCAATTACATTATTATGGGTGATGGTAGATCAAGCAAAAGCCGTATTGTATTTAATTTAAAATAATAAAGAATAATTTAATTAACAATATATTTTCTTAGATCCGTTCTTAGAATGTCCAGTGAAGTGTCGGTTAACGCCACGGCCATATAGATAGATAGATAGATAGATCTATATATGGCCGTGGTTAACGCTAACCGATTGATAACAGATTTTATTGTCGGCAGAATTCGGCCGGTTAAGTGTCGGTTAACTACTTAACTTGTATGACTCTGAAATTTGGTTTTCAAAAAAAAACTTTTGAAAATGAAAGGGCGGCAAAAAATGCAGGTAAACTAATGGACAGCGCATTCCACTCCGCCCTGCCTCATGCAAGGGAATCATATAAGAGAAAGAAAGAAGAGAGAAAAGGGAGAAAGAACATAAAGTAGTAAATCATAGACGACACTACGACAGACTATATTCATAGATTAAACATTCATATATACATACATAATAGAGAGCCTAGATAATAATATTATTATTATGTTAGTATGTTTAATCTATGCTATATTCTAAGACCGTGCTTGTAACTGTATTTCCCCCCACGTTCTCTTTTCTCGTACCATTGGCGTGCTCAGCTTTTTCCTATGGGGGGGATGAACAGTTATAACTTTACAAGCACTACATTTTTTTTGAGTAAACCGAAATTATCGAAGAACTATAAATTACGCATAAAAAAAGTTCATGAGGGGGATATGACACCCTCCCCCCGCGAGCACGCCCCTGTTTCGTACCCTGACCATAGAGTCTCTCTCTAAGCTATAGCGCTATAGGTCTATGCCTGGTATACCAAAATGGTAGTTTAGGTTAATCCACAGATATAAAATACCTGTGGGTTTAATCTAAAATGACAAATCGGCGTATTTATAAAATGTGATAAAATCACAGATATATAAAAATACTAGATAGACGACTCCCTATTCCTACCATGTAATAATTATGAAGCCAACAAAATGGCCGAAATACTCTTATCTAAGAGGTGAATGTTTACAAAATATAAATTATGATAAACTGTGATAATTTTATGGCGGGAATCAAAAACTATTAAATATGTATTACAAATTACAATATTATTAGTCATTACAATATCATACACTTACTATAGTTACAACACGGACTAAGATGTACTTATATTTTTTATTTTATAGTATGTCTTAGTCCTTGACTTAAAATTAAGATTAAAAGTATAATTTATTGCAAAAAATGAGAAATACAATATAGATATAATAAACAAGTTTCAAGCTCGTCCAATAAGCACATGCTTGAATTCTAATGATCTGAGTTCATATTAAAAATGAACTAAAATGAAAATAAATTTAACTTTATGTTATGTCATATTACAACAAAATAAAGTAAAACAAAAAAGATTTAATTTTATATTAAATATAAGAGAAAATATTATTAATATATATCTTATACTTGGTGAAATTACAAAAATTGGTTGAAGAAGTTGAGTTCCAAAATAAATGCCATTAAATGGTATAATTAAATTACAATTATTTTATGATCTTGTATTTACAACCATACAAAGGATGGAATTTACTTGTATTAACTTTAAACATACGGTATAATACAATATGCAGTTCATAAGTTTTGACCAAAAGTTCAATCCTTAAACTCATGGTAAATTATATTAGTAAAATATGATTTAGTTTTGTTAAGAATGATTTTTATTAATTAATTTATAGTTTAGGGTAAGACATTGTTGTGTAATGTGTATAGGAGTATGTGAAGCCACACATCAAAATCAAATACAAACATTAAATATAAAAATCTTGATTTAAAAATAATAAACCTATGTAATAATACATTTGCATTCGATAATAATATTTTTTATACACTTCA